GAGCGTGGAGGGGCTGGAGGTGTCGTCTGCGCTGCTTTCACCGGCAGGCTCTGGAGCTGGGGGGATGCAGGGGGTGGCGGGAAGGTTTGGAGCTGCACCTGGCTGTAGGGCCGCTGCAACTGCGGCTCCAGGGTCCCACTGCTGCTGCTGCTGCTGCCACCCTGGAAGCTGCTGCACAAGGGATCCGAAAAGAGGTCTGGAAAATCTCCTGCCTGGTTACTGACAAACTGCAGCATCTCTGTAAAACAGAAGAAAATTTGTTCAACGCTATTTTGTTGCCTACATACTTTGACACCTGGCATTAACATCATGGAATGATGGTGTGTGTGCACAGAAGGGAGCTCTGGTCCTTCGAAACCTTCAGAGAACACATCACACCACTGCAACACCTCCAGAGAGAGACCAGGACGTGGCCAGGACTGCTGCTGTTCAGGGCTAAAAGTAAGACCCTCCCACAACACTTTTTCAGACAAGATCCAAGCACAGGCTAGACCTTAAAGCCATCTCCAAAATATATATAACTAAAATATTAGAGTCTTGTTCCACCACTCCTTCAGTCTAACCCTTGCAGAAGGAAGAAACCAAGCACCTCCACAATTCCAGCACAAACCACTCTCTCACCCAACTTTTGGGAGCTTTCAAGTCCCCTACCTGCACTGCCCCACTGAGTATCTGGAAAAGGAAGAGACAGAATAAAAATTAATGTTCTCTTTATTTTACTTACAAGCATAACAAAAACTGGGGAAAAACCTTGAAAGTAAACACCACTTCATAAAAGTGTAGCAGGATAAATCTATACATGTGTTTAAAACATCAGAGTAACTTTTTCTGTTGGTTTTCTGCCTGCAATCACTGCACAACAGGTTCTCTCCATCCCACCTTCTCCAGGATTTTATGAATCCACATCAAGAGGCTCCTACTGCAACACTATAGGCCTTCCCCCGAGAGGTGAACATTTTATAACCAAGAGATCGTTGTTCATAAGAAGAGCTTCCTCTTCCCTCCATCCTATCCAATTTAATCCAATTAGGCACCTTAAGACATATGAATGCTTTCCCTGATTTGTGTGCAGGCAGTGGCATGAGGAATCAGACACTCTTCCCTGCCCCAGGACCTGCCCATGCTGCACTGGCTCTTCCATGGTTTTCTGTACGTCCTATTCATTTTTTTTCTGGAAACAGGAAAAGAGGGGAACCACAACCTAAGAGAGATTATAACAAAATAATAAATATGGATCTAGGAAACAAAAAATATATTTCTGATTTATAGGAAAAAATACGGCAAAGGGCTACTTACACCAGGACCTTTCTCACTCCCAAACCCCAAAGGATGTCGCTGCTGTGATTTATGAAGTAGGTCTGAAGCAGTGAACTTTTGACAAGAAGTTTCTATAGATTATGTCCCAGCAATAAGAGGGCTATTAATTTTCACAGCTCTCTGAAATGCCACCCACACATTATCCAATTAATTTGTCTGACGCTCCTTTGTCTGAAGCAGAGCAAAGGGATGAGGCCTCTTGCTCCCTCAACACACATTTCGACATACTTGTGTGATACTACTACTCTTCCCCTTCAGTAGCAATCCCTCCACACCCTGACACACATTTAAGCATTGTCCATGACCACTGCTCTCAAGAACTAGTCTGTTTGACGGAGGAGCCTGGGAGGAGATGTGTCCTTCTGACCTGTTCATAACCTGATGCTAAGTGGGGATGCACAGCTCCCCCAGCATGAGCCACCCTTGGGGACCGGCTGGACCAAACCCTTGTCTCCAGTCCTCACTAGAGGAATGAAAGATTTATTTTTTTTTATGTGTTGCCTTAATTGGCTTTCACAAAGCACTAGCAGAACAAGGAGGGCTGTTTCAAGATTAACATCTAGATGGATATTAAACAGCTCTTCACATTCCAACTGACCATCCCAAATAACCCTCACCATGATAAAACTGATAACCCAAACTACTTCCCAAACCCTGCATTTGATGGTATTGCTATTTCACTATCAAACAGCACAAGTAAGGAATAAACATAAATCAGATGAGATTTGCTCTGGGAGATTTAATTCCCAGCATAAGAACAAAATTTCAATCACCGTGTTTTAAAGAATGTTGTGTTCAATGCAGCAGATTTAATATCTTATTTTAAAAACTACTCCTGCTCTCACAAGTTAAATCACATCTTTATGACAGATTTAACTTTGACTAAATACAAAAAGTCTGAAGCTTAACTTTTAAGACTGCCAGGGGATCAAACCCACCTCTTTTAAAGGGCTCAAGAGCTTTCCTAATAACAACACACAAAAAATTAAAAGCAAGAGACAAAGCCAACACCCAAAATCTAAATCTCTGTTTTTTGAAACATCTTTGCCTACCCAGAAATCAGAATATCTACACTCACTGTGAGAAACCTCAGGTGCTTCTGGAGCCATCAGTGATAAACCCAGTGTCACCAGAGCACCTGAAAAAACCCCAGCCCAACCCAAGGCTAAAAAATGTCAACAAGGTATTACAAAACCAAAACTGAGCCCACCAAGGGCTTCTACCGCTTTCATCAGCCCAGGGCCTGAACACCTGGCAGAAAGGCAAGGTCTGGGCTTCAGCAGCCTCTCCCAGGCTGTGGCTCAGCTCCTACAGAACAGAGGTTGCTCTTCCTCACACTCCTGGAGATGCTGTGCTCTGAGAAACAGAGCAGTAGAGATCCCAACCTCAACAACCTCTGTGTCCTGAACCCTGATGTGCTTTGACCTCCAGCTGATTCAAACCTCATGCTCCCACGTTACCCAGCAGTGCCCATGGCTCGTGGAGGAGTTGTGTTGGAGCAAGAGGCAGAGCCTTTGGGCTCAGCACTGGGGCCCCCTGGCCACCCTTGTGCCCTGTCTTGAAGGATAATCCCAGTGAACACTGGCATCCCAGAGCACATCCGCCACAAAAAAATAAAAATCCACGCAACAGGCAGTGAGGAGCGTTCAGTCTGAATGGGAGAAGAACACCCACAAGACAACTTAAAGACCAAATGAAAATCCTTGCAAAATTTCAAACCCTGAGATGAATCCATGCTGGAGCACAAAAAAAGCAGGATTGTCACGTCTCTTCCCCCTGCCTTCCCCAGGAAAATCCACCCCTGGAGGTGGGGAGGAAAGTGAAGCTGTTTTCCTAAGTTACTCATCGCTCTGAATCACACCTCCCAGGGCACACCTCAGTTCAGAGCCATTGCTGGGTTCATCAATTCGTCTCAGTTTCCATATGGAACCTGAGAACTCTACGTGGTGGTGCTTAAACAACAGCAAACACCACCTTTAATGTGCACTATCAAACTTTGTGAGCAATAAATAAGCCCACTGCACTCTCATAAGGTTCGCTCTTCTTCCATGGCAAAAGAAAAAAAGGAGTATAAATTTTGCCCCAAGCTATGTGGCAAATCAGTGTCAATTTGAAACCTAAAAGTACTGGTAAAATTTTATCTCCCAGCTGCTAAACAAGGATATTTTGGACACCCCCAAAACTGAGCTCTGTTTAGGATTACAGCCCAGCAGAGCAGTGAACTAAAGCAGGAGCTCATCTTCACCAGCCTACAGCACAGACCACACCGAGAAATGTCATTTTAAATGGGGTTTTCGGGAGCTGCTTGGTGTCGCCAAAAATATACATAAAACAGGCGTCACACGCAGGCGCTTCATTTTCCTGCACTTCGGTGGAAACCAGGGGTTTTCTCACAGGTTTGTGCTGTGCCAGCGATGCAGTAAAGTTTTAGGATGACAGGGAAAATGGGAAATGTAAGCGGGTAGAGCTGTTTCGATGCGGGAGGGCTCGGAGGCTCGGCCTGCCACGGGCAGCAGCGGAGGCACAGCTTCAGCCATCGTTTAGCACCTACTTTAAGAGAACCACGAGGAAACACGAGGGGAACGCGGGCAGCGCCGCTTGCCCCGCGGGTCTGCGGCAGGAGCAGGGAGACACGGTCAGCACCTTCCCCGACCCCTTCCCGCGACGGCCACCGGTGGAAAGGTGGGCTCGGACCCCCACATCCCCACCGCCTTCCTGCGGCTACGGCCTCCGGGCGTGGGGCAGCTCCACGACAGTCGCTCAGAAGCGCTCCCCTGGCAGGGGAGACACGCGTGGCCGCCGGCCGGCCGGGCGAGCGCTGCCCGGCGGGACGCGCTCCGCAGCCCCGCCTGTACCCACCCGGGACGGGGTGGCAGCCCGCACCGCGTGGGAAGCGCACACACCCTGAACACTCCAGGAGCACGGTCCAAGGAGCGCCCACCCCCGCCTCCCGGCCCGGCAGCCGCGGGGAGACCCGAGCGCTCCCCTCACCACGCGTGGGGAGCCCACGCGCGCCGTCTCCACCCAACCCCCCCGCTCCTTCGCGCGGCGCCTACCGTCGATGTCGCCCAGGGTGAGCTCGTCGCCCAGCTCGGTCAGGGTGTCCATGCTCTCGGCGGCCAGCTCGCCGCCCTCCATCGCGCAGGGCCCGCCGCCGCCCCGGGCGCTCAAGCGGAGGCTGCTGCTGCTGCCGCTGCCGGCGGGCGCCGCCGACCCCGCGCCATCTTGGGCCGGCCCGCGGCCCCGCCCCCGCGGCCCCGGCGCGCGCGCCCCCCGCGGTTTGTTGTCAATGAGACCAGGTCGCCCCCGGCCAATCGGCGGCCGCGGCGGCGCGTGGTGTGATGGCGCGTCAGCGATCAGCAGCTGCATTAGCATAGCGCGCCCCGCCCCCGCCGCGCGCAATATTCATGAGGGGGCGGGGCCGCGCCGCGCGTGGGAGCGGCACCACCGCCGCCGCCGCCCACGGGAAGCGCGGCCGGGGAAGCGCTCGCGCCCCGCGGTGCCAGCAGGATGCGCGGCGGAAAGGGCAGCTGGACGGAGCGCGGGGTCTGCCCTTCCCTCCGCAGCGCCCACGGACCCTCACCTCCTGAGGGGCCAGCCTCGACGCTCTCTGGCGCACACCCGCTCCCCCCAGGAACGGGAGCAAGAGCCAGGATTCTTCTACTTAAAAAAAAAATAAAAAAATAGTAAAGTCAATTTTATTCAAGAAAAAACAAATGCGCCCATTGCCACCCCCCCTCCCCTCATCGGAGGGACTTGGCTCTGCTGTTAAAAAATCCGGGACGTTTCCCTTTCCTCAAAGGCTGTGAGCCGCCAGCCCGGCACAGAGCACCCGCTCCTCGGGGAAGGCCCCTCTGCAGGAGCCCGCTCTGGTGCGAGGCCATCAGCGCAGGTGAGGTGTCGCAGGGTGGCTGTGTCAGGTCACAGCCCCTGCAGTTGGCTCCCTCCCTACTTCAGCCCTGCTATCGCCACATGCGCTCACCTGGCTGTCGCCTGACAGAGCCCTTTGGGGACTCATTTAGAGAGGATGAGCCCCAAAGAGAAGGGATGGAGCATGGGCTGCAGGACGGGCTCTCCGTGGCTCAGGGCTGCTTCCCCGGCATCTTCAGCATCAGCACTGCTTGCACTACAGCCACCCACTGGCTGCAAAGAGGCCAAGTACCGAAATTCCTCCTGTCCAAAAATTCACCGGGCATTCACCTCTCTGCGGTAATGACCTGTGGTAGCCACGGGATGCCATCAGCCAGGAACAGCTGCCATCGGCATTTTCAGCTAAATCTGGACAATGAAACGCATGTTGCTCAGTGAAACAGCCACTGGGAAAAGGGGAGGTCTGATCTGGCAGAGGTAGCAGCTGTGCAGAGACCAGGTAGAACCCGGTGGGGGGTGCCAATGAGATCACTCGTTTAACAAAACGAAAAGCAAAACTGAGAGAAGCAGCATTGCTCATGAGGCTGTTTGGTGTGATGCACTCCCCAGCCCACCCGTGTTGGAGGAGGTACATTCAGCGTGGGGTGTGCTGCAGTGAGGAGGGATCCCTGGGCTCCACCAGAGGCGTGTCCCCCACCCCCTATTTCCCCACAGGCAGTAACACCCTGACCGGGGGATGGCCCCAGTGCTGTCCCATCTATGCTTTACCTCTGTGGAAAGGGGTATCCCATTTTAGCCCCTTTGGGGCAACCCACCAGCACCACCACCCAACCTCCACTGAATAAAAATGAAAGGCAACAAAACAAAATCCACGGCACAAATGGAAAGGGAACGGCCAGGCATCGGCCCAAGGCTGCAGAGAAGGGAGCAAGCCGCTCTGTGTCCCAGTGGTGTCACCCCCACTGCAATGCACCAGTCCCAGTGTGCTACAGTTCCGACTGTGAGCGGGAGATGCGTGGGCCCTTGCGGATCTCCTTCCGCTTCTCTTCCTTCTTCCTCCTCTTCTCCTCATCCCGCAGCGCCTTCTGAAAGGTGTCAGCACTGGGGAAAAACTGTGGGTTGACAGCAAGGGGTCAGCATGGGCGAGCGCCCACTGCCTCCCAGAGGCACAACCCCTCCAAATCACCAAAGCCAACACACAAGCCTCACAGCCCAGGGAGCTTTCAGCACAGATGCAACACGAGGCAAACGGTCTCAACCACAAGGCAGATGGCCACAGAAGGGAAGAGAGGGCACCAGGTGCCCAAAGTAGACCATCGATGGGAAATTCAGTGTTTGTGTTTCAGCCATGCTTATTCAGTGACAGGGGCTTTTGGCCATTTCCCACAAGCCACCCATTCCATTCCCCAGCCAGTTGCCTGGAGCTGCAACACGGATGGGGAAGCCCATGAGGCAAGCCGGCAGCATTGCCATCTTACCTCTGACTGGTCCGTTTTAAAGGGATTGCGGTAATCGGGTGATTTCTCACTGATTCCTAGCTCCTGAGCCATCTGCAGAGCAAAGGGGAAACCTCACTGGGGAGTGGTGCCTCCCACTCACATCCCCCAGCTATGTGACCAGGGTCCCCTACTCTCCCACCAGTCCCATCCATGCTCTATGCTCTTCCCCTATCCCTCAGCCCAAGGACAGCCCCCAGACATGGGCAGGCCCTGCTTTCCTTTTACCCCAAAACCCTCACCCCACCAGCCTAGCAGCAGAGAGGGTTCACGGCAGGGGGACGAAGAGCCATACCAGCCGCAGGACCTGGGAGTGGGGTCCCTGCTCGAACACACCCGTCAAGTTGCAGAAGCCGATGCCCCAGCGGATGAGGCTGTTCCAGTTGGAGTTGCGGTCAAAGTAGTGGTGCACGATCTTGGGGAAGCGCAGGACGACGTCCCCGAAGAAGGCAGTGTTCTCCACCACGTGGGAGTATGCTGTGGGGACAGCCACCAGCACAGGCTGAGGGCAAACCCATAGGCTCTCCAGTATGAATTGGTCAGAGAGGCAGCAACAGGGTCCCCAACAGACAGGGACCAGCCCAGGTCTGGTCTGGATGCATAGGAGTTTTGTACCTACCCCAGCACTGATCCCAGGAAGAATGTCTGTGGTGCACCAGAGCACCAGAAAAAGGGAGGGGAGTAAAAGCCAGAAAGGACCTACCATCCTTTATCTTCTCATCCTGAGGGAAGGGCCCATCAGGAGGCACATCGGCAGCAATGAGCACAGCACGGGAGTCCTCCAGCACCTGCCAGAGCCCTCGGTTACTGCCCTGTCCTTCCAGCCTAACCCTGCACCCTGGAGGTGCTGCCACAGCTGCCTCACTGAAACCCCATGGCATCCTCCCTTCAGGTCCTAAAGCTCACCTGCCACACACTCCACAGAAGCCCCCAACCCTTCCCATTCCCACCCACCCTTGTGGGCTCAGAGTGCAGCCTGCAATGTGGCTTACTTTGAAGAGTCCCTTGAGCATGATGTCAATGATTTTGTACTGCTGGTTGATGTCATTGAGCTCAATCAAGTTCTTCAGAGCATTCATCTGGTCCTTGCGCTTCACCTCAAACAGCTTCTTATCTGCAGCACTGTCAAGGGCACTGCCGACACTCTCTCACCACACTGCTGCTCTCTGCCCTCCACCGGGCTCCCGGCACCATCCCAGCGCCCCCAGTTCTCCATGAGGTGTCTGAGGGCTGAGGGGCAGCACCTGAGCCAGGACGAAGCATAGATTTCCAGGGAACCCCTCGCCCAAACACCCCAGCAGACCCTTAACAATGTTAAGAGCTTGTGGGGAGCTTTCTTCTTGCCAGTCCACTCTCTTGCTGATGGGCTGGAGGAGGAACGTGAACTGCCACCTTCCCTGTGTGTCTCCACATACTCACTATCTTTTCATACTTTGCCTGTTCACCAGGGGATGCTGCTGTGTGCTAAGAAGGGCTTGCATTAGCCCACATCCTCATACGCAAAAGGTACCTGTGGCACTGAGGAGACCAAGTGCCACAAGCCCAGGAGTCCTCTTCCACCATCCCAGCTGGTGATCCCAAATCACTGAGAAGTGCAGGTGTGCTCTGCCTTCTGGCTGGCCATGCCACTTCCAGGAGCAGACTGGGAAATGTGCTCAGTGGGGCACAATGTGTGCACAATGGGGCAGGAAGAACACCAGGCATCACTGCCATTTCTGTTCCTGCACCAAGCCAGGCACTTGGTTAGCAAACCCAGGAGCTTGGCTAAAGCCCATCTACAGAAGGACAAAGCAGCAACTTCCCAGTGCTTCTGCATCCTCTCTTTTCCACTTCCTTGTGCCCCTTTCCACGATCTCTGACCCTTTCCCTGTCATGTGCTCCCTCCAGCCTCTGTAGCCATTAGTGCATACGTGGTCACAAGGGGCAGGCTGCAGAGGATACAGATTTCCAAGCCAGAGTCAGCTCTCTGTTTCTCCAGGTCTGTGAAGCTGCCCTGGGACAGCAGCAATGCCAGCAGAAAGGGGCAGATGAAGAGAAAATCCATGTTGGCCACTGCAGTCTAAAAGAAAACAGACCAACAAAACCAATGATCAGTGAGGAGACTTACCAAAAGGAGGAGTCACATGAGCCACTTGGGACTGATGACACACTGCCCTTGGCACCAGGGTCCTTGCCCATCCCTTGTCCCCATGATGGGTCTGAGGGATACAGTGGCCAGAGCAGAGCCACATGGTGATGTCCCAGCCTGCTCTGCCCTGCAAGTGAAGCCCTGGTCTCCCTCTTCTCTCTACCTGCCTGCACTGCCAGCCTCCAGGCATCTGACCCAGCAGAAAAATTAAGTCCTACCCCTCCTTCCAAAAATAACAGCTAGCTTTTTACTGGGTTTGTGAGGCAAAGCAGCCCAACAACCACAACAGCAGGTCTGGAAGGAAGAGTAGGATCAGTGAGGGGTTGAAATCCATCTCTCCTTCAAGTCCCTATGCAACCAGTTCAGCGACCTCCACTCATCACTTTGGGTATTGGTACCTGGACCCTTTCCCTCACTACAAGCTGGGCGCCACCTGCAGGTCCCAGGCCAAAAAAAACCAGTTAGGTGATCTGGTGGTAACTTCCCCCTCCAAACAAGCCCCTTCCCAGGCAGCATCTGAGGCTTTGAAGGGATGTTCTTGGGCAGAGCTCCTCCTGACCACAAAGGTCCCTCAGACAAAGTCAACAGCTGGAGGAAATAGTCCTTGAGAATGAGGACCCTCTTGGACAATCTATACCTGGAAAAGGAGAGCAGTAGCTCAGTCCCCAGGCAGCAGAACTCAAGGTAGTCTGTCCTCAGGCACGAGGCTTCCACAGAGCAGAGCACAGGCCACTGACAATTACAGATGCAACAGCTCCTTCAGAGGCATTGTCTGAGCCACCTCTTGCTCCCAAAGGAAAGGCCACCAGAGATGCGTAAGGCCACCAGAGCTGACCTCACTCTATGACCCACTGCCCTCTTGAGTCTGAGTCTGCCTGCCCAGCCAAACCTGTCTCTGTAATGCCCTAACAGTGAGACAAAACTAAATCCCTTCTTGTTCTTTTCTTGTTGCTTTTCTTTTTTAAACAAATATAATTTATTCAACTCCAAGCCGCAAAAGGCAAAGCAGGCAGCACCAGCAGCTCTCCCAGCATTGCAAGGATCAGCAGCAGCTCCCACCATGCACCTCCTGCCGAGACCAAGCCAAGCATCTTCACACCCCTGGCAAAGGCAGGGGAACAGCGTTAGACAAACATGAAAAACCCTCTGAAATATTTTGCTGTTGTGCTTTGTAAAAGGCAACACCTCTGGAAAGGAACAGACCAGAGTAAATACAACCAGCATTACTGAAGAAGACTTGGCTGCCCCTGGTGTGGGCTCAGCAACATGCCCCATGCTTCTGACATAGTGCAGAGCCAGGATGGCAGCACAAGCCCTTATGCTAGGCTTGGGGTCTGTCCCCTCTTCCCACTGCAATGTGAGGCTTAAGCCGCATTCCAGCTGTCCTGAATGCCACAAAGCACACCAGCAAGCCAAGGCTGTAAGGAAAATTCTCCAGCCCAGGCAAACAGATGTTCTCTTGGACCTACCAGCCTGGTCAGCTTCCACGAGACGGCTTCACCCTGCCAAAAACCATGGCCCAAGGACCCAGGGCCTGGCTCAGTGAGGTAAGTCTGTCCTCTGCAGAGCTGCCAAGCTCTCGGGGAGAAGGAAGTGCAGCAATGCAAAAGCACAAAGAGTGACTGCCCTGGGACTCGGGCTCCTGTTTGCCCCTCAGATCAAACACACCACCATAAGGACCAGGCTGGCTATTTGCCATGCTCATGGAGAACTGGAAAGAGACACTGGAGGTAGCCAGTGGCCTCCAGACCAAGCTGGAAGGCAAAAAACAGACAGGCTGCCCACAACAGCTCTGCCATGCTGCCTGTGGCAGTCCCAGCATACCTGATAAGGGCAGGGTCTGCTGTATCCCCCATTTCCAACACTGGAGTCAGGTGGCCAAAGGATGTTCCACAGGAGCTGCAAAAAGCCCTGTTCAAGGCAGCAGCAGAGCAAAGCTCTTGGCTGAAGCAGCTGCCAGCCGGCCAGTTGCTGCAGCACAAGGTCCACCTGGCTGCTTCCGAGTCTCAGAACAGTGATGGGCTTCTTCAGAGACACAACAGCAGATGCTGGGGTAGAGATGGTCAATGTTTTCAATGCAAATGTATTTGGATCCTCTTACATCAGCCCTAAAGATTGTCCCACGGGACAAGGAGAGGACTGGAGAACCATGCCATACTGGAAGCCCACCACTTTTTCATCTGATCTGCTGGCACTCATTCTCACATTGAAGCTACTTATTTGCCATTGTCTATCAGGGCTAAAACATGCTGGTGAAAATGAAGCAGGGCCCAGTTGTTTCTCTTACCCACAGGGAACTTGGGGCTACTGATGCCATGTGGGACCAACTCAGATTTATTTCCTTTAGCTGCCCTGGCAATTTCACCACACTTTAACAGCAGAGGACATTCCCTCCTCTCCAGGCCACACTATGCAACAGCAGAGGTGCCAAAGCTCCTTGCAGATGTTCCTCCATGCTTTCCCAACAAACTCTCTCTTGTGTCTTCACACCTGCTGAGGGATGAGATGAGACAGAAACACTGCAGAGCTGCTCCTCTCTCCTCTCCCTGCTCCTCCCTGAATTGATTTCTGCCAAAGACAGCTCTGCCTGATGCTCCCAGAGCAGTCCAGGGAGCCAGGGCCTGGCCTGATGCTACAGATGGAAAGGAGTTTCCACCAACATTGCCTTGCATCCCTGGCCAGCTGGCTGTTTCAGCAGCAAGCCCACCAGTCTGTCTCACTGTCTCCCAACCTCTTAATTTAGATGTGTTTTTCCAAAGACATGATAACAGATGCCGTGTAATAGATGGTTAGTACTTCCCATTAAAATGTTCTCAATTACTTTATAAATTTTCCTGCAGGAGCCCCATCTGAACGAAGCATCCCTGAGATTTATTCACTTAATGAGCTTGCAGGGCAGAGCCATGCTGCAATGCTTTGGTTCCCAGGAGAAACTTTTGCATGATCCCCCCACCTTCCCTCTGCAGGCACTGAAATGTAGGGGGAAAAGCATCATCCTTCACCAGGAGCATGCTGTGGCAAAACAAGGAATGAAAACTCCCTCCCCCACGAATCCATTCCTGAGACTCTCCTCCAACAACCAGATGAGGATTAATATCTTCTTACAGGTGAACCAAAAACCTCACAAGTGAAACACTGCTGCTCAGAGTCCTCTAGGAGGACACATCGATATGGGGCTTACAGGACCAGCTGCTCCAGTTGAAACGGCACTGGCCATTTACACCTGCTCGTCTCCAAAGTCTCTCAGCCACCAAGCCCAGAAACTCTCGTACCACAGGGTTTGGCAGCCCCGATTTCCTGCTGTGATTTCCAGCAGGGATCGGTCCATCCCAGCCCATCCTCGTGTCTCCCGTCGTGCAGGAGAGGTTCAAGAAGCACCCTGAGGGGCTCGGGAGGCCACTGGCACAGGGAGATGGGGATTCTCCCGCAAGCTCCGCTGAAAGTAAAGGCAATCACACAGGGACCGTGGAGCTCAAAGGGGATTAGGCGAGCCTACCCCGGCCGCGCTGCGGGAAACCCACCCGGAGCCGTGTCCAGCGGACGTAGCAGGCTGCACACGGGAGGAGCGAACCCTCGGGGAGGACGGCAGCTCCCAGGAGCCGCGGCGGTCCGCTCCTCCCGCGGCTCCAGCGCGGGGCGAGCAGGCGCCGACGGCAGGCAGAGCCCGTCGGGCACAGCCCTTTAACCCAGGCTCCAAGGAGGTGTCCCGGGACCTCCCTTCCCGCCCCGCTCTCGGCCACCGCGGCTGCCCGGGAAGGAGCGAGCACCGGCCACCTCCGCCCCGTCCCGCGATGCCCCCGGAGCGGCCCCAGGGCTGCTCCCGCCCTTCCCTCCTGCCCCACCACGGCCCCGCTGGGCCTCCCGGGGCGGGATGGCTCCCGGGCGGCGCGGCCGGTCCCCACCTGCGGGCCGGGTGCCGGGTGCCAGGGCCGGCGCTCACGCCCGCCGCGCTGCCATGCTGCTGCTGCTGCTGCTGCTGCTGCCGCTGCCACTGCCGCTCCGCCCCGCCGTGTCACTTCCTGAGCCCCCGCCCCGCCCCGACACCGGCACCGGCCACGCACCGGCGGGCGCTCCGAGGGTCTGGAGGCAGCAGGACAGCGAGGGCTGGGGCTTTAGTCGAAGGGGTCACTCGGGACCTGGAAGAAACCTCCTCATCCCTATGGGAAACGCAGCGTGTCTGCTTCCCCCGGGATCCTGTCTGATCCCCCCACCGCCCCTTCCAGCCCAGAGCAAAGGGACCATCTCGCAGCCCCATCAGCCAAGGCGGGTGAGCAGAGCACCTCTTCCGCAGCATTCCTGTACGACATCGTTACCCCAGGCAGGTCTGCATTTTGATAGATGAAGGGCATCAACCAAGCCTTATCCCGCACAGAAGGGGAAACGGAGCCGTTTCAGTAACAGAACTGAATTTTAATTTCAACAAACCTTTTTCTCAAAATGAGCAACAAGTGACTTCCTTTGTCCATCTTCTCCCTACTGGGAATGAATGGCAGGGTGGGATCTCCTGCTGCATTCTTGCTTTGTTCCTCTGCTCTGTGCACTGTATCTTCTCATTTCAATCTCCAATGTGTGAGAGGGACACTGCCACGCTTCCCAGACATCTGTCATTAGCAGCATGAGTGGAAACCAAAGGAAAGGCATGCATGCTATGGGAATTCCCAGATTCGACATATCACTTCCAGGAGGTTTTCATTGCTAAACCAACCCTCCCAAAGATATGGAACCTCACTCCCAACATATGTGAGAAATACCACCGTAGGTTAACCTGAAGAAAAGTCAAAGCTCCATTTTGACAGAGAATTTTGTCTTCCATGTCCACGACTAACTTATTAATGTAGCCCCACTGCTGCATTTCAATTGTATCTAAGATCCTTCCTAACCACCAAGATTTGAAGGTTTCTTAATACGTAGAAAATTTAGAAATTAAAGTAACTTCAGCAATGTAACAAAACCTCCCATCCAAATTCCCTCATCCCTGTACAGAGAAGCAAAATGGAGTGGAAAGGGACTTCATGGGGCTCAACGGCCTCCACCAGGACAACTTGCCCTCTGAGTGTCCCACAACAGAGCGGTAATACCACATTGGGGGTAAGCATGAGGACAAGCTACTCCTCACAGGACAAACACCTCACCCACCACATACCCTACACGTGGCTGATGACAGTGCCCCTCAGTGAAGGAAGTCCCCACACCCATAGGAAATCACCACCATGGCCACTTCCATCACTGCTACATGTCTGAGGCAATGCAGTGTGATGAAAACAGGAAGGCAAAAAAAAAAAAAAGTTTGAGAAAAAACCAAATACTGCACCAGGTTCCCTCTTTCTCCATAAGGCATCTGGGAGTGGCCCCTGCCTCCATGACCAGGGAAGTGGATTTAGTTTGCAGAGGTGGACTCCAGGCCCAAACAGAATAAAATCTGGTAACTCCACTCAGTGGTTCCCAAATGCTCTGCATTTTGAAAGTGCCTGAGTCATATCTGGGTTTCCACTACTTCATGGGCATACTGGCACTAGATGGCATGCAAACAGAGATTAACTCATTGCTCATCCTCCAGGGAAATCAATAGAGATTGTTACTGCTTTGAAGCCAGAGACTCCCAAGCCTGCTCTCCTTTCATCAGACCACCTCTGCTTTATAGATGAATGCAAGCCCAGAATACAGACACATCTTTAATCCCAATTGTCTCCTCATTTCCAAAATGTCTTCTCAGATTAGGACGTGATGAAGTCTTTCATCCCAAAGTTAGCCAAGTGTAGAAACCACTCAGAGTCTTTCAATTTTGTTTGCCTTCAGCTGGAACAAGAGAAGCACCAGCAGATTAAGTGTCCCTTCTACCTCTGTTACACCTGCCACACACATCAGCTGTCAAAGGATACACAATGTCCTGATGCTTTACACAAGTGGTCTTCTGTCCCAAGAGGCGATCCAGCAAGGTCTGAATGATCCCTGACTGCTCTGGCTCCACCTGGTAATGACTGCTCTGAATCTGAGGGGTCAGAAAAAAAAATGATTTCCAGAAAAACATAAAACTGTTGGGCTTGTTCCTTCATACTCCCTCCCTCATCTCCACACAGAGCAATGAGATCTTCAAAGGCCAAAGCAAAAGCCTAGGGATTCCATTCTTGTTTTCCTAAGCAGTCACTGCTCTCTCACCTGAGAAAGGAAGAGGTGGAGAGCACAAGATGTGGCCTCGGGCAGCTCTGCTATGTTGGCTTCTGCTGCCTCCTGAATAATCTGGCTAATTTCTTTTTGAGAAATAATGTTGTTGCTCTGATATCTCACAAACTTGAACAAAGGAAAAAATAGACACATTAAATAGTGGAAGACCCACAGAATGCAACAGTGACTCATCACTTGCAGAGACCTCTTCTATGTGCCATTACTGCAGCACCTTAACCACAAGCCTGATTTTTATACCACTTCTAATGGAACCAGTGCAAGTATCTATGTTGCTGGTGCTGTGATTTATAGCCAGACTTATTTTGGTTTAAGCTGGGAAGGAACTAAAATAAATGAGGTAACCTTTTAAATCTGAAATAAGAACAGCAAATACTCACAGACCCATCTTTTATTTGGAGGGGGAAGGTTCTCTTTAACAACCCCCTCCTCTCATTCACTGCCATGAGGGCTCTATCTTCAGGACCACATTCCCCCTCCAGCCCACATACAGCAGGGTAGTATATTGCACTAACTCCCTGCCCTTAAAAGTATGGTCTGTAAGGTCAAGACTCGACACAAGCTGTGATGCCAAGCAGCCAGCTTGCTTCCTGACTGGTAACAGCAGTTGCATGTTCTCTGCAAGTTTCCCCGCTCCTCCCCAGGGGTCTTAGATGATATAAATAAATGTTACCAACACCAAAAGAACAGGAGGTGCTCACTAACAGCAGTCAGTTTCTGCAGGGTGTGGAATTTTGTTTGAAAGTAACATTATTAATACAGGGCACAAATATAGTCCCAGACAAAGCCACAGCAGTATCAGACTGTGCTGCAGAGCAGGTTAAGTATCAACAACCAGCCCACATGCATTGTACCAACATACTGGGAAAGATGGGGAATAGCCCACCCTTCTGCTGCTCACCAAAGTCATCAACCTGAGAACTTCTGGCTGCAGAAAGGACTTCTGGCTGCCACTGAGTAGTGTGAAGAGCAGGAATCGGTGCCATGGCTGTGAAGCAACGTGTAGAGCTGGGAGAGAAGGAGAAGCCAATCAAAGACAGCTGTAAAACTGCCCAAGTGACAGGCTGAACCCAGCTAAGGACAGTCTTCAATACTGAACCCAAGTTTTCTCTCCTAGACCCCACACTGTGAAACACTAAGGGGATATTTTGCACTGTTCTTACTTGCTTTTTAATCTGTCACTCTCTGGGCAAGAGTTCAGTCAAGAGGACAAAAGCTTAATAGCTTTTCAAAGCAGAAAATACATATTGTCCATCTTCATGCTGGTACGGGAAGAGAAACCTTCTCCTGGGGCGCATAACACAGTGAGGGAGTATCTTTAGCTTGGGGTTTTAAAAATAAAGCCCTCCGGTTTCAATATGAGGACAACTCTCCTGACCTCAGTTTTTATTTAGCTGCAGAATACCCTCTGGGTAATGAGGAAAGCCCTATAACAGAAGCTGAACAAACTGAGCCTGGATCTGCATCAGACAGTGGACTATGGGACCAGCCAGGCTGATGGTGGCAATGCAGTCAGTAGAGAAAATGCTCTTACTAAAGAACATATATGATAATACAACATATATTAGGTAATAATAATAAGGTAAAAAATATACGTCTGTGATGGCATGAAGTCTTTCCCTGAATGCTGAAATTAAAATGTTATTATCTTGTATTTATTACAGGTTAGGAGCATGGGATGGACAAATAGATCAGCTGATATAACTTGTTATACTATAGCAACTCATCAGAGTGTTAGGTCTCTTTTCCACTGACAGTCACATAACCTCCCTATTGCTACTACAGGAATCTTTTCTATAGGAAAACAACACTGACAAATAATGTAAAATATTTGGAGGATATCTTTCATCTGGGGAAAACGAGAAAGTACCAGAACTGTGCATGAGCCTGCTCTGCACCTTTGGAAATATCTCTGGACCAAAAGAGGGTTTTAGAAAGCCTCAAGTGAGTCAACTCCTAGAGGCAGAGTCCATGACAGACTCTTTCCAGTGTTCTTGCATCTTTCAGCCAAATACAGCTATTCTGCTTGGAATAAGGAGACTCTTGTTATTGCTGTTATGAACTTCAGCACCACAGCAGCCAGAGTGACAGGTTCAGCTCTTGCTGCAGCAGCATTTCATTAGTTTAATCCCAAACCAGCAGAGCCTTCCCATAACTTTTTTTTTTTCAAATTCAGCCTTTTAATAGCCTCCCTTCAGCTACTGGCTGTCATTCATCCGCAGTATTACGTCTTTATCCAACCACTTCCTCTCTCCCACCAGTGTCCATTGTTCATTCACTCCACTCCCTTCTCTATTAGTGTTTAAACAACTGAAGTTAACAGGTCAGGGTACAGAGAACTTTCTGGTTTAAGAACAGAGCCAGCACCTGGACTTTGTGGCAGAAGGCTGACAATAAGCAGAAGGGTCTGTTCTTCCTCTCCAACTGTACAATGCAGTCGTGTTATGTTATACTGAAAACATGGTATACATTAGGTCTGACATGCACTCTGGAAACCAAGGTCAGAATTCACCCCTGGAAATCCAGAATTTCCATCTTCCATAACCTAAGGCTGCCTAGTACCCTCTTCTCCCTTCCCTTCCTTCAGGGCCAAACTGTGACCAACACTGCCCTTTTGTAAGTCCCATCATGTTCAGATCCTCCCTCCAATATGTTTATGGTATAAATGTTTGAAACAATTGGCCTGAAAGTAAAATACTATTCCTGTACTCCTTCCACTCCCAAACCTTTCCCTCTTACAGGGTTGGAGAACTACTCTTTACCTTCTGGAAAGCATCTTGGTGTCCAGAGCCAAAGTGAAGGTTCATGCCTGAAGGTGAGCCAGGCACTGTGATCTCAACCCAAAAAGCACAAGGTTAACTTTAGGCACACAAATAATTTTTCTTATTTGGCATAAACCCATTACGCATTTTCTCCAGAGCGCTATTGGAGAGAGAACAAAGAGCTCAAATTCACTGCAGGAGGGGAAACTAGGAGAAGAAAGAGCATGAACACTTTACCAACATCCTGGTTCTTCACATACAGGTATTCCACTAAGGTTTCTAGGCAGGCAACCACTGCCTGAGAGAGCAGCAAGTCTTTCTGGAATACCAAGAGAAAGGAAAAAAAAGAACCCAGTCAACAGCTATTGCAAGTGGAAAATTCATAAAGTGCCAGGATCTGAAGAGTATGCAGCACAGGAAAATAACACCTTTCATCTCCTTCAAAGGTTGCAATGTGCTGCAAATTATCTGTCACATCAAGGAGCCAGACAGAGTTATGGCTACTTATTTTGAGACTAAAAAATAATAGGTAACAACCTCCAAAGAATAAAGATAGGAGCCCAACATAGCTTAAGAGTTAAATGTAAACTGATGTACTACCCCTGGAGCCCAGCATCACTTGAGCAAGTTAAATGTATGCTGATGCACTCACTACCCCCAAAAGCACCTTGCCAGGGGCGTGGGGGATGGACTGGGATTTGTTATACTTTTCCTACATCTGTCCCTATGGATGTGGCAGCCCTGCAGAAAAAGAGATGGGAAGACAGAAATCATCACTAGTACACAGAATTTCAGCTACCCAGTTCAGCAGCAGGGAGCACCGCATAGCCTGATTTACCTTCTTTCTCACTGCACTGTGCTGCAGCAAGAGCATTTTCCCTCCTCCTCATCACACGTCTGTAAGGGGTGGAAAATGCAGGCAGAAAAAAAACCAAAAAACAGGCAGCGTCTCTGATTCTGCAACAGGGTGGCTTCTTCTCAAGTTAATGTTCCTGTTTGAAGCCCAACATTACTGTTGTTCCAAAAGTCGTATTTTATATACCTTCAACTGGACATGCACCAGAAGGTTCTGCAGACTGACAACAAGCGAGAAGACCTGCTGCATGGCAAGGGGGTGCAAGGCAGTGTCCTGCAGTGATGATGGCTGTGGTTGAGTAGAACTTGGGGCTGTGTTTCGGCCAACAATCACCAGCAGGGAGGAGGAGAAGTTCTGTCGCAGAACAGCTCTCAGGAACTGCATGATGCTCACTAGACAGGGAGATACTTATTAGTGTGTGTCAGTGTGTTTCTCTGCTCTACCCTGTGTGTTGGTGCCTGTGCAATAGCATGGGAGTGGGTTAGGAGAGAAAATGTGAGCTTAATAGCCCACCAAAGTTGTATGGCAGCTGCTGACAGCTGTAGACAGGAATGGCAACATGAGTTTTCTTATTCATCTCCTTCTGTAAGACACTAACTCAGTTCACACTCAGTTCCAGATGTCACTACCAACCTCCAAGGAAGATCTGTCCAAACACAGAAGAACTTCAGACAGCTCACTTTTGCCATTTCTCACCACCAATTACACATTTACAAAGTCAAATGGACCAAAGTTTCCAGATTCCCTCCAGCACCCCCACCATCCCATTCCATAGTCACCAGTTCTCCCTTGTTGCTTGTATCATGGTACTAATGGCTGCTTCCAGACAAATCCTCCTAACAGATGCAAAATACCTAACAGCAGGATTGGCTTCTTATTCCTGAAGATGACTGCATTCAGGACTTCTGTAAGGTCTACAGAGAGTGTCTGGTGAACCTAGAAGAGAATTAAATAGAAGAGAAAAAGTGGTGCTTGTTTGGAGCAGATAGAAAGCGCCATTAAATACTTCTAGTTGTTAGACACTAACCCATGATGACCACTGAAAACCAAGGGAACAGCAACAGGGTTTCAGGAGGCTGACACAGAAGAGAAAATTACATCATTGGACCCTCATGCTTCACTCACCACTAGTTGCCTGAGCTGCACAGCTTCCAAACCACACTTTACCTTGTCTGTCTTGTTCTCACTACTCTCTGCAGGACCTCTGACACGTGGCTGTCAGCCTGCCAAGCACATGAAGTGGCAGGAACAGCTACCAGCAAACATGGCTCTACCTTAGCCACAGAGCCATGCAGCAAGACCGAGGAGCCAGGCAGCCAAAAAGCAGCAATGGCCAGAAGCTGTTCTTCCCTGCTGGAGCTGGGGCCTGCTGAGAGCCCAGGGATAGGAACTATTGCATGGGTGAAAGTGGCAGAGGAGTTTAGGGATTTGGGAACTAGTTGAAACAGGAAAGGTTGCCTTGAGAGGGAAATCTGCAATATATTGTTTCCATCACAGAACAGCCATTCAAGAGCAATGGCATGAAGCTCAGAGAACAGCAGAAGGGTTCAAATTCTTCAATAAGCCAGAGAGTTGATATGGGAAGGCAGGCATAAAGATCACAGGGCTGACTCTTTTAAATACTCTTCCGAAGAGGGAAATATTCCACAGAACTAGGAGTAGCTCCTGCAACATGGTGGCAGTGGCTACTCATTTTAGAACTGACAAGCCAAAGCCTTTAATAGCCTACCATCCATGAGTCCTGTTTATTCACAGGGTAGCAGTAACACAGTAAAGATGTAAGTTTGCTATGGCCAAACAAGTCCTCACTATTAACATCAGCCTGAGATGAATGTGGCCATTTCTTGAAGCCATTGGTCTCCCCTAAAAAACTGCAGACTCAGGGAGACAGCCTGTCATCAGCTTACATTCACAGCCACAAAGGTGCTCTTACGAGAGTCTCCAGGATGCTTTGTGCAGCTCCAGCTACACTGAACAGCAGAAAGAAGCAAGAGAAGTGACTCTTCCACTTCTTCCCCTTCAGCAGAATATTAGAAACACTAAAACTTAGAAATGCTGAAGATTAGAAACACTGAAGCAGTCTTGATCCGTTTCCATTTCCCAGCTGTATCTGTAGTTTCTTTCCTCATCTCTGGTGCAAAAACATTTCTGGGTTGTATATGGTAGCACATCAAGCCAGTGGTATTGGTAAAACCAAGCAACAGGCTTATGAGCTGCTAAATGATTGCACTTCAAGGATCAATATGAGCTGAGAGCGTCACTCCCAGGAGCTCAACACTTGACACTGGACACTAGAATGTCATCTGGGACTGGCACAACACCAGACACAGCCCTGTCAATTTCCCCAGGAAATTGAGAAGACAGGCTGTACTTAGCAGCTGGCAGAGCAGGGCCAGACTGCATTCCCACAGCTGACAGTCTGTACAAGTACCATGCTCTAAGCCCAGCTCATGCTGACAAAGTAATGGGTGCAGACTTGGTCTGGGCTGGTCTTCTGGAAAACATCTTCCCTTCAGTATTAGAAATCCAACCCTTGCTTTTCTGCGCTCATGCATGTGTGTCCTTAATGTGATCTTATCATCTGCAAACAGGTGTACCAACTCCCAAGGAGCATACTCTGCTGGGCATAACTGCAACAGCAGAGCTCACAACTCATGACATGCTCTCTAACTCTGTATCAAGAGAGGTCTGGGTAGATACTTCAAAAGGAAACATTTTTTCCTTATATTGATTGGCATTGGAAAGTGCTTTCTTCAAAGTTGTAAATTCCATTATTAGCTGACAACTCCAGCTTAGATGTCTTGTTGGACTGCAAAGCATCAAATATAATGACAGCTGCCCACATTCTTAAGAGCTTGCTAATACTGAACACTTACTTGCCAATAATAGGTTCTATTTCACTATTGATCATTTTAGTAACAAAAAAGCAGTTTACAACATGGGAGCTGTGCCTTCCACCCCCAGGCTTCCCTTGAGAAAGGTTTTAAAATGTATTTTGCTCTGTCCTGAAGAGGAGAGTGATTTGGATCAGGAAGGTTGGGTATGCACTTCTCCCCGCAGGATTTGTGCCCTTCTTTAACTCTTCAATGATTCGTGTCTCAGAGCTTCAGTGACATGCTAGCTTCCCATCCTGCTGGAGAGGTGCAGCAAGGAATAACTTGTGGACAATAAAAAAAGAGAAATCAAAGCAATCAGATTACAGGCCAAAGCAAAACACATTCACATATGTATATATATATATTTACACACGTATTTATTTTTAAGGTTTATCCATGTGCTGACTCTGAACGCAAGAGTGGTTCTAACCTCAGTATTGTATCGATGCTGATAAAGCAAAAGGGAAGCCACCAACAGCCATCCAGAGCACAGCAAGGCATCCTCAGATGACAGGTAGGCAGGTCTGGAAGTAGGGGACCACAGCCAGGTGCATTCCAAAACCTTCTGCAGGAGTTCTAACAAGGACACGTTGGAGAGCAGCACAGCCACTGCTGCATGGGAGAAACATAACAAAGAGAGGGTGATGGGATGGCACGGGTTAGAACAGCTTGACAAGCATAAGAGAAGTGCAGAGCACACCCCTGCTGCAGTGAGGTAGCCCAGCTGCCACAGCTCATCCGAGTAAGGCTGTCCAGCTACTGGTATTCATCTCAACTGCTCAGCCAGCTAATCAGCTAACAACATAGTAGGATGGTCAGTTAGAGATGTTCCCTAGTATTGTTTAATTTTTTCAACTATGACAATACCAGGATATTTCAAGCTAGGCATCAAAGGCCCACTGCTGTGTTTATGAACAAGGAAAATACAGTGATTCTGTCATTCAGCAGCCAATTCTTGAATCATCAGAAGGCAGCAGAACCAAACTAAACTCCTCAACCTAAAAAACATCATCCAAAGAATGAAATGGTCTTTAATTATAATGATGTGTCTGGACAGGGAAACATTCACCTTACCTGCTGAGAGGGTTAGAATACAGTCTCTGATTGTGAACCTACAACTTCACTGAAATTAACTTAGCAATCAATACAATCTCCCCTCACCTCTCTGCTGACTACAAGGTGTTGTCTGATGAAGGCTCCAGTACAGAAAATTCAAGGATGGCTGCAGGAGGTCAGTGTCCCTTGGCCTGCATTTCCCACAGAGATTACTGACTAGACACAAAAGAACACGTGTAACAAGGTCACCAACTTAACACAGCACCTCAACACATTAAGTAAGTGGGCAGGGAATTCAGACAATGTGAAAATAAATAGAGCATGGTACAGACAAAGCAACAGGCATGTGCCCTACAGGGTTTGCCTTAGAGTGGACAGTGCAGTGGAGAATGATAACAGAGGGGAGAAACTGAGGAGGGTATATCAGAAGGCATATATCACATTGGGGAGTAATGAATACAAGAGCAATGGAGTTTAGATTATCTGTTTCCACAGCTAAAAAAACTGCTGTGCAAGTTACCTGTTTCCACAGTGTGAGTTTGATTCTAGTACTAGAATAAGCATAATGATGTGACTGTTTCTCATGGTGACCAAACTGGGGAAAACCATGGAGAGCTGTGCTCCTCCACTCTCACCAACTTTGCTCAGGCTAGGGGTAAAATGGCATGTTTGTTGTAAGCACCAAACACTTAGCAACAATGTTAGTAAGAGTTAGGGAGGGAAATCCAGGACTGCAGGGCTCAGCAAACTGCTGTTGGAGATCTTTTGAAGAGCTTACAATTTGAGTAAGCAATTCTCAAAAAACATGCATCAACACGCCCCTTCCACCTAAGAGGCCTCATGAGAGAAAAGTGTCTTGCACATCCACCCCTGGAGAACACAGTCTGGAGGCCCAGGGGGGATAAATGGGGTGGCTGGGGTAGGGAGAGAGTTGTGCAGAAAAATACAAAGCAGAAAACAAGAAGAAAAGGAGCTTGTGACTCCTGGGAGAAGCTGAGCTGTGTTTTAAAATCAAAGCAGCTAAAAAGGCTGGGATAAAGAGGCCATGGTTATTCCACACCCCCAGTTCCCTTGGCTAATGAATGTCTGAGAAATGCCACTTCTTTACAAAGGCAACACAGGCAGCCCTGAGATATGAAACATTTCAAATTGGAGGGGATAGTCCTTCAAAGTCTGCTGGAGAGACCGATTTGTCAGAGCAGGGAAGAGATGAGAGGATGGACCAGCTGAATTTTCCTCCTAGTATCTATTTTTTTTCACAGCCTATATGAACCTCCAATAGCCAAGTAAGAAGGCAGAAGTCACCAAGTAAGGATCACCAGACAAGACAGCAGGTTATGGTATGGTAAAGAAACACAGCCTGCTCTTCTGTCTTTGGGGTGGAGTGGGCAAGGCCTGCAGTTGGTTGGGAGCCATATACTCTGGATTCATATTCCAAGGTAAGCCCAGTTTCACTAGACTGCTGGCTCCTGATAGCCGATTAACAGGACGTGACTTTGGCCTGAACCCCACAAGACTGTTACAGCAAGGATGGACAGAAAAGGATGATTCAGGAAGAACACCAGTCATGTGGTCATGTGCCAAATCAACAACAGTCACTGACCCTGCAATCATGACATGGTCAGGGGAATACTTTGGCCACCTTGTGAGATTTCAGACCAAAAAAATGCATTGTAAAAGCAAGAGGAAGAGAACCTGGGTTTTGTTAACTGAATTAGTTACCACAACTCTTTATGATGCTCTGGCTATGAAAGTATCTCAAAGCAACCATTACTATAATGCAAGGTCAATCTTCTCTCAAATGACAAAGACCAAGCCTCTAATCATCTTATGGAACAATTAACAAACACTTTTCTGGGAGAAGATGGATGCACACACTCACCCTGGTGAAGCAGCTTGAAGTCTGTGCTGTCCAGCTCCCTTATGCACTTGCTCCGCAGCTGCACCAGGAAAAGAAGGCTCAGCAAAACAGGCAGGTTCCTGTTAGCTAAGAAGGGCACAGACAGCTTAGCTTGTCAGTGAACTCCAGACTGCTGTACCTTAAAGTGTGCCAGGAACTGTTAATTTTCTGGCTCCGGAATAAGGGGACACACACACACACACACACACAGAGCCACAACTTTACTCTCATCTCTACAGCCCCTTCTGGATCAGGTCCCCTTTCTGACACTCTAGTTTGGCCCGAGTTACACTTGAATCCTGCCAACATCATTTTAGGAGCAACTAAAGAAGGGGGGAAAAGAAGCTAGGGTCATTTACACCCATCATGAGCCATGTAGGGAGCATGTTCCTCACACTTTGATACTGCTAATAAGCTAGAAGTCATTAGCCCTTTCTAGACTGCTCTCTTCCTGCCCACTTGACCATCACTGTCACACTTTTGATAGCAGCCCAGATGGACAGCATTATTCTCCTCCATCTTGTGAGACTGAAAAAATGCTGTCCATCCCATCCCACCCCACAGGGCAGAGCAGAGACAGAAGTGAGAATCTCACACAGCAAGCCTGTATGTAAGGAAAATGGGGCTACTTAGACCACCAACCCCTAGGGCAATCCCTACTATTCACTTTTTTTGCAGTGCTGTAAACAGGTAAAGATTTTGTATTGTATAAAGCCATACCTACAGAAAGCAGCTATCACCTTCAGTTTTCACAAAGGCTCATGAGTTTTCTGTTTTGAGGAAGAAACACTTATGGGTGTCTTTAATGTTAACATATTCCTGATGGAGTCCCACTGTTGGGCCTCCTTCTTGTCTAAAAGCAGGCTACTGTTTGAATAGGGATGCAGATCCCCTGGACTTAACTATCTCAGGCCTCACAGAGAACTGCCTGTGTGCCGGGAGACAAGGAAGTCTGTCACCAGAGTACATCTGGTGTTTGACTTTCTGGATGGGTTGCCAGGACGTCAGTCAACAAGTTCAAGATGCAATATGAAGAAGAGCCACACATTTTAGTAGCAGCAGAAGGGCTCAAATCTTGCAAAAGCTCCCCTAGCTCAGTGTCCTCCATCACCAGTTATTTGGAGGAATAGGTCTGACTCCCACTATAGGAAATGGATACTTTGCCTCCCCACAGCTCTCAGAATCCATAGATCAGCGACAGAGGGACATGACAAGTTCAAATGTGCACAATTCCAGACAAGATCAGACCTAGCAGATCTTGTAGTCTCATGCTCTACCATGCTCCTGTTTTCAATGCCCCTCCTCTTCTCCAGTCTACTGACTTTGCTGGAGGTAAGGCAAAAACACTTTCCTTCTTCTTGTCTCCATCCCAATTGCTGCACAACAAAACACTTGAAACAGAGCAAAGCTGTTAAAAGCATTAGTGGCCCCCTCAGAAACAAGTAGAAGTTGTGCTAAGTCCCCATCCTAAAGGAGCCAAGGACATCCTAACACTGCTCCCTCTTTCAGTTCAAGCTCACAGACTGCTTTGCACAGCACTTTTTACAGTGGGACAACAGTTCCAACATCACAGATGGGGCCAGTAAAGAAAACAGGGATTTTCCCCAGTTACAGCCTCGCTCCCTTTGAGAGACTTAACAGTTATAAGATCTGGTGATAACACAGGCCCTGTTTGGGGATCAATATCATGAATGATTCAATCTTTGCTCCTGTTCTCTGTGTCCTGGGAACTGTGTATACTCAGGCATACCTAGCTGTTTTGCACAAAGAAGCAAAAAGGACGATGTCTTTCAGCCACCAGTTGGGCCCCTATTCAAGCAGGAAGCCTTACCAGCACAGCTCTCCATTTGAACACTGACAACAGCATACAAAAACCTTGCTTTGGTTTAACAATCACGTTTTGAAGCCAGAACAACATAAATTAGAAAAAAGGCTCTCACTTCAAAATTAATCTCTGAAAAAGGAAACCAAATTAAGATATACTTAACTAAGTATAGTTCATAAATTTCTTCATGCAGGTAAGTACTAAAGCTACATCAGCAGTTCAAAACCACTTTATCCCAGACTGTGTCCCTACAGCTAGTTGATCATACAGCTAAACACCAAGTCACAGAATTGGGGTCACCTTGTAAGGTGGCTGAGCTACTCTCTACCAGCAGCTGCTGCAGAATCTGTAAAAAACGGCTCCGAAGGAGGTCGCAGACAAGGACATCCTCATTTCTTTCCAGGAAGGTCCTTAGAGTAATCAACACCTTCCAAGCCACTTCCACAGAGCCTGAGCAGACCAGGTCCTGCAAAGGAAGAAACACACACATTACCTTTCTACTCTGATTAGGCAGAAGTCACCACTATTTAATACCATTATGCTAATCTCATGCCTTGGGAAACAGCCCAATAAAGCACCATTCAGATTAAGTATGCCCTGATTAAATAGAGAACTGAATAAAGCAGAAGGACTCATGTCTATTAGGCACCTCTGAGTAATATCCCATTTAAAGAATGATTTGGCTCTGCAAGTGCAAGGGTAACATATGTTTAAGGTCAGCTTTAGACAGGTGAGACCTAAACAAGAGAACAGAATCTCTGGTACCTCTGCTCTCCTTGTTGTTTTGAAAAATCAGCTTGCATATTAAAGATGCTTGCCTAAAATCAAGCTTATGAGTCAGTCCATAGTTCCTAACTTTCAAAAGGCTGGCAGCCTCATATGTGCAGTAGTAACATAACTAATCTGCATAAAACATATGTAAGCTGGGTAAGCAATCAAGCACAGGAAAGGGAAGAGTCGTGTACACAGCTCACAAGCTTGCCTCTTGACTACAGGGCTCTGTCTGGAGTCTCTGAGCTGAATCCCACAGCCAGTAGCCTTAATTTGGCCATAGTCTTCATGTTGAGGTCTATAACATTAAATTCACTTGCACAGCATGTACAGAGGCAGCTGTATAAATATCAGACAGAAAAAGCCTGATAGTGCTGACCAGGACTACTGCATTGCAAATGGTAGAGTTGAAGAGGTAAACAGGAAACTGTACAGCAACTGAGCCTACAGTCTGCCTGGACAACTTGCTGCCTCTCTCAGCTGCCTCACCCTATCACACAGCAGTAATTCATCCAGACTTCGATGATGCAGAGGAAATGGCTGTGGAACCCTGTACCCAAGGAGAGCAAATAAGGTAAGAACAGGCTGTATGTGCCAGAAAAAGCTGTCTAGTTCTGAGCCGAATTTCTGCCTCTACCAGAGACCTTCATGAATAAAGGGCAGGAAGATGTCTGCACAATCATCTCTGCTGACATAGATCTGCTCCATATGACATTCAGGAATGTAACCTAATGTCTCTGTTCTCTGAGAGAGCACCTCAGACCTGGAGCATGGAGAAGACAAGTGAGACAGTGTGTCATCATGACTACATTCATCCCCAGATGAACACACACAGCACAAAATGACATGAACCAATGGCCACAGCCTTCCTGGTCCTGGCAAATGTACCATTGTGTTAATAGGTTCCTTCCTACCCAGAAGCTCAAGGTCTCAGATGAAGTCACTAACCATCTGTTATATCCAATCCAGACAATTATTTAAAGCAGAAAGCAAATAAGTCATCCTAGGAAGGACATTCATTTTTGTTTCACTGTACCATGCAGAGGCCTTTCCACTCCACTAGTGCATTCTGAGGCTTAGGTTATTCATCTCATCATTTTCTTTATACCTGACAGTATATTTATCTTTCCATAGCGCACTGTTTTATTAGTCCACCTAAATTCAGATTGATTATGCTCTTCCACAACTGAAAGGTGAATTGTCAAAGCCTGTGATTTATTACAACTCACTTTAAATACTGGAACAGAGCTAAATGAATTTACTTCTGCAAGAGCATATGGCAAGACAGAAAAGGGAACCAGGAATTTTGTACCATTCAGGGAAGGGAGATGCTGTTTATGTTTTGCTTACTGACAGACCTTCTTCAGTTTATGGAGTGATAGGTTCCAGAACTACTAGCAAAGGTAACAGAGTGGACAAGCCTCATGGGACACTTCACCTCCTTAATTTGTCCTGATATGTAAACTCACTGATCACTTTTACTAATGCTCTGCAATGGTATCAAGCATCTGGATGTTGTTACCTACTCTGCAATGACATCCCATCTGTGAAAGAGCTGCCCTACATGAGAGCACTCCTGTCAGTCATTTCAGTAACCTCAGATATTCAAATTTACTCCATAGCCTCTTAGATCAGAACAAACGTGTTCTGTAATGCCCAATGGATGCCTACTCAGAGTCAAGCCTTGCTTCCTCTTACTTCTTTACCATCTGTTGACATGGGTTTGCCTTTTCAATGATAGTTAGTTTTAATTTCTCTAACGGATTGGAGAAGAAATATCACAGCTCTTAGCTTTCGCCCTTACAGGCAAATCTAATGTTCTTCTGTGGCAAAGTTAGCAAATACTTACTATGTGACTGGCTCAACAGTCATGGGACAAGAAGCTGATGATGGGGAGAGGTGACAGGTGACAGGAAGGTGAGAGCAGTGGAAGTGAGAAAAGGCCTCTAAGCAGCCATCAGGACACGGATTGTGTCCTGATTACATTACAGAGCTCATTACACCAGCTAAAGGCAAGCACACTAGCCTGCTGCTTCAAGGCCCCTTTCTCTCCTGCACTGATTAATTTTCCCTGCCACAAGACTTTTATTTTATCTTTTAAGAGCAATAAAACATGTTATTTGCATAACATGAAAATTCAAGGGTACTTCAAAATTCTCTGACAAGAGTCTCCAGTTAAAACCAGACAAAATGAAAACCTCAAACAAACAGAAAGCTGTGTGAAAGACCTGTTCTCTGCACACTGCTTTTTCAAAGTTCTTGTTCATCATACCCTTCTAATCCATCAGTAACAAAGCATTGCTCCTAAATCTGCAAAACAGCTTCTTCAAAGACTGGCACTGAAGAATCTCAAGTACCTAGATGTGTATCTGAATAGAGGAAGGAATGGGGTTTTTCATGGCACACATCAGCAGCACCCTTCAGATCCCTCTCCAGCCAGCTCTCAGAGGATCCCTTCCTGACACAGTAGATGGATGACAGAGAAAGAGATAATACACATACACAGTCCCGTTTTCCACATAAGGCTTCCCTGGCAGGTGGAAGTCTGTGCCCCCTTCTATCAAAATCCTTGGCTTCATAACATCACTAAAACTTTAAGAACCAAAAAGCCCCCAAAATCAGGGCCAGGATAGCAGCCTGTCCTTGTGAAAGTCACATACCAGTAAAATAAGCAAAATGCTGGAATTGCTCTTCAGTATGGGAAGCAATGGGTTAGTGCTGTTCAGCTGATCAGATGTGCCAAAATCACCTTCTTCCACCTCAGACTGCTTGCAGTCTTCCCAGGAAAACCAGAGTTGGAGGATTTGGTGTCCAAATTTCCCCATAAGTTCAGTGTAGCTCAGGAAGAACTTCAGCAGGAGAGGACAATGGACATAGACCAGGCTCAGATCTGGAAGATTATCTAGGATCCTTCTTATGGTAGACAAAGACCTCTAGTAAGAGGGAAAGGGGAAGTGGGACAGAGAAAAAAACAATCACTAATACTGAATTATAAAACATCTGAAGTGATGAGACTTTAGTGTGAGAAACAGTCACACTGCCTTTTCAGCAGACAATCAAATACATCAGTTAAACATCATTTTATGAACCCCATTTGCATCACAAAGGCTAAGAAACTTGTAGGCTTTATACAGAGCTCAAAGCTCTGCAGCAGCAAAAAGCCATATGGGAACACTAGAAAGCCTGCTGCAGAGGCTGGAGATGCGTTTGGGAGACCAAAGCTATGAAATTTATTATATTCTGTATGTGAATTCACAGCCTATCCAACGCAATTACACTTCCCACACATACACAAGTTTATTCTGTCAAATCTATATTCCCTTGTGGATTTTCATAGTTAACTTTCCAGAGTGTAGATGCACTGCGCAGTCTTCACTCATTCACTGCTCACCACCTATGCCAAAATACTTTCCACAAGAAGGTTGATGTGAGTGGGGAGAAACCTTAGTTTCAACAAAAAGGTTCCAAGAGGTAGGAATGAAATCTTCTTTTACCACATCCAGGGCTTTGCCTTTGTCCTGACAGACAGCAAGGAGGTAAAGTGCAGCTCTGAGTATGTGTGGAGGGGGACAGTCTCCATGGTCCTGTGCTGAGAGGAGAAAATTTCTTACAGCTAGAAATAATTCTGCCTCTGGAACAAACCTGCAATGAAGGAGATTGAAGTGGAAACAGTAACAACAGATATGCTTTACCCACCAATACAAGGTATGTTATGCCCACAAACCCACTTGCTTTGTATACTCTTGGCTCACCTGTCCCCAAAGGTGTAGGCAAAGTATAAGAGCAGTATGAAACAGTGCTGATGGCTGCAAAGAGACTGATCCAAAAAGAAAGGCTCAGGGGCTTCAGACAGGAGGAGAAGGCTTTCAGCAATGGTGAAGTTTAACTGAGGCAGACCCTTCTGCAGGAGCTCAGACATTTCTTGCTCTAGAAATAAAAATATAAGCAAGCAGGAAATGATGAGCAATGTCTGTGGAACAACTCCACAGTCTGCATACACCAAGCACATCTCTATGATTTGGCATCAATAGTGGTGTGAGACCTGTTTTAACAGAGCTGGCTTCAAGGATGAAAAGACATTTCTGTTTGAGATTCCAAGCCCTTTGCTGATGCTGCCTGTATGATGACCAGCGACTGCTAACGGGAAAAGTGTCTTTTCTGATGTAGAAACTTTCATTTCATTTGTTTAGGACTTACTTATTATGGAAAGTTACAGTATCTACAGGAAAGATTTATAGAGTATTCCAGAGGGGAAAAATTACCTTTATCTGCAGATGTGAGTGACTATGTGGCAAGTAATTTTGTTTCAATTAAGCATGCACAGCTGTGCTAATAAATGCCCCCATGTAAACAAAACCATAGGCAGATGAAATGCCTTCTTTCAGGTAGGGTTCCAAACTCTCCAAAAGGCACAGTGTTTTCTGTGCTGGTCCTTGCTGGACCAGCTTAAAAACAAGCTGGGGAAATAAAATCTCTCAATTGAGCTATGTGTGTCCTCCTTTTCCTTCTCCTTTGTCCTTTTCTAATTTTTTTTCACCTGTTGCCTAACAACAGGGTGGCATGGACTCAAACTAAATGAAGCAACCTTTCTCTTTCCCCAAACTTGCCCTCTTGAGAAGAAGTTCTCCTCTTCTCTGTGGCTGCGTAAAGGTTCAGGCATAAACTGCAGAGGAAGCTGGAACAGGTGTGATTCAGGACAGGATCACTGTGAAGAAGAGCAGAAAAAGACAGTAAATAAGGCTAGAAATATCCTTTTCCTATTTCTGATATCACACACTGTCTACCAGAACTTCATTTTACTGAATGATCACATGCAAGCACCTGCCCCATCACAAGAAGACTCCAGGAGCCAACCTAGGCTTCCAGGAGAATGGTGAGTTCCCAATGGACTGTCAGCTCACAGATGTGGTGGGCGTGTGCAGTGACAACAATGAACATGTTCATACCTTGGGCCAACGTGAGTACAGTGGAGTACTTTCACAACCATCACACCTTGTCTACACAGGGAGTCCTATAAGGATAGGATCCCTAACACTGCAGAGAATGGGAGGTATTTAAGGGTAGCTCACAATACATGATTCCACTGGCAAACAACACTTAGATTTTTTTAGCAATGACATTGCCAGGGATGAACACTGAGGAATGCCAAAATATTAAGTAAAAGGGTGAGAACAGCTATTTCCAGGTATTTCTCTCTCTCCAACCATTTCCTTGCAGAACAGGACATAACCAGATACCTTTAACACACCATCCTTGGCAAAGCACAGTGCTCTATTCAGAAACTGAGATCACTCCCACCACACACCATTCACAGGTACAAATGCCCCCATTTGAAGTTCCATATTAGCAAACTGGACTAGGAGTGCTGTGTGTTTTGTTTACTTTTTTATGAGGTACAGTCACAGGAAAGAGGAGGTAAAACATCTCTACAGACTCACAGAGAGTCTCCTCAAATACTCTTCAACCTAGAAATCATAGCCTCTACTATAGGAGATCCTTTGCAATGCCTGCTACTGAAGTCATCCTCCTCTCCCCCACTTGTAATACATTATCACACCATAAGGAACAACAACAGTGGTAGTAGTATATGCCTAGGAAGCCAGAGCTCAGATGGAACTGATGCTACTGGTACTTCTCTTCATAACACCCACTGAGCTGACTACTCCAAAATCAAGCTTCTTTATCTCTGTGCAACTCACGACAGAGCACAGAATTCTCACAGTGCTGTGTAAATCCATCCGCCCCCCACCCAACTGCTTCTCCCTTCTCTCACATCAAGCTCTTCCATTGTCAGTAGCCATTTACATTTTTTACATTCCTGAGTCTTTCAGCCTCTCATCTTGCCCAATCAGGTGTATTAGATAAGGCAGGATCTACTTTCCCATCTGGAAATTTTTGGCTCACTTACAATGCACATGTCACAATACCTCTGTACAGAGCAAAATCTGGCCTTCAGCTCCAGTGTCAGTCGGATGAAGGATGAGGATGCTAGACAGAAAGCAAGACAGAAATGCCAAAAGAGCACAGAACATGTATGATAAGAAAAAGACTAGGCAGATCCCATAACACCCTCACACATCTCCATACAAGCCTGGTGAAGAGGGCAGGCCATCTCAGTACACATACATTAGGCTGCCTCTCATAAAGTAAACTACTCCAGGTTTGGGTCTGATGGAAGTATCTGAGGTTCATTTGTTTGCTCAGGAGGAGAAGTGAATATTTGCCAGTTTCACATGTTTAGAACTGAGGAATTGTCTACATCACCTCTCTGATGTGTGAAGAATAAGGCATACATAGACTAAGCTAGGATTTCTACATAGTAAAATCCCACCAACAATTCCAGCATAATCCCTGTCTACAGGAACAGTCAATTCAATTCTGAATTATTCCAGAGGGAAGGATAAAGCTGACACAACATTCTTATCCAAAATAAAACCTGTCCCATCATCAGAGCTAGACCAAATAATTTTTCCATCCTGCTGAACATGACTATGCACTCTATTCTTACTCATATAAACATGTAATAGAATCCTCCACATAAAGTCTCAATATTAGGCTGGTTGCCTCAATTATATGCAGTAGCAGCAAGTTGCACCAGTTAAGAGCACAGAGAACATGATCCCACAATACCCTCATACCCAGCTTCTTGGAGAACTTATTCCGCATGCTTGGCACCACTGTAAAGAGGGTACTGAGTGTTGAGATGAAAACCTCCGTCACAGACGGGCTGACAGCCCTTTCCAGATAGCTCTGTGGAAAGACGAATAGATCAGGCGCACAAGATGCTATTAACACTGAAGGCAGCAGCTTTCTTCCAGCCTCCTGCCTGCCCAGAAAGTCAGGTTTCTAAATCCAAACAAATAGAGTGGCAGTTCTTTTACCAAAATGCCTGGCAGCATAGCAGGCTCACAGAGCACTCTCCTCTGCCAGCACTATGAGCTGTGCTGGTAACTGTGCAAGACATCACACCAGACAAGAAACTTCTTCTGGATTCCAGCAGTTAATGCACAGTGACTGACATTACTGCCCACACTGCCCTGGAAGTTACTGCTCTTACAGGTCAGATGGCTAATTCTCCTATACAACATAGGACATATGTTTAAGTGCAGCTGACTTCAGCAACACTTAACACCTCTGCTCAGCATTTCACTGAGCAGTGGCAAACACAGGCATTTGAGCTCTCTACAGAGTCCAGCCCTGAACTGTTTAGAACAGAACAACTCAACTAATTCTTGTTGAAGGTCACAGGATGATTTTCTCACAGTCCATTAATTTTTACCCAAGTTCAATGAGCAAGAAACAGCACACTGACTCCAGCTTGGCCAACCTGGACATGCACTGCACCCTCCTGTCAGGGAGGAGAACAGAAGTGTCACTGCAGCTGCCTACCAAGAGATCGGTTAAGAAAACACCGACCAAAACATCTCCAAGCTCCTAACAACTGCAAGAATTCATACACCTGTACCTGTCACAAAGCACAAGCAAACTTTACTAAACATTAGGAACCACAACAAAAGTCCCAGTTTTTTGACAATTCTGCTTGAAGTGTCTTAGGGACAGGCCTATATGGAGCACTAAAGCCCTCATGAGTCTTCACAGCTACTTTTTAAATCATGTCACAGGCCTTACTGAAGCACAATGCTTAATACTGTCCTTGCTGTGCAGACTGGGCAGCCTCATCAGCACCTTCTGGGAAAAAGCACAGAAATTAAATTGCAGGTGCAAACCACGGCTGCTCTCTGGGACACAGGCAAGTTTTGAAAGAGTGGCACATGGGGAAACAACAGTTTTCTGACACATCTGGAGCTGCAATGGATCCTACAGCATGGTAGGTAGGCTATGGGATTACACAGTCTGAAGAAAGACACTCACATCTACATGGAAACTTTATGAATTTCTGCACCCTCTGAGAGCAGAAGAATGAACTACACAGTTTTGCATGAACTATATAGTTCCATATTTGGCTATGGAAAAGTGGCAAATGCCACAATTGTTCTCAGTTTACTTGATGTGACCTCTTCCCAAGAAAAAAAACATTTGTGCAACCCACTCTCGGTGCTTGAAAGCACCTTCCCAAGTATCCATGGAACAGACCAAGTTCAAAAGAAATCCTACCATGACCATGGGGATGCAGAGACTGTCACAAATCCTCAACAGGAACTCAGAGAAGTTGCTTAGTGTGTCTTTGCTCTCAGAGTTGGGGGCAGTGAAAGCATTCTCCTGGGCCATGAAGTCACCCTGGAATTCCACTGCTAACCTACAAACACATAGTGGATAGCAAAGGAAAGAGGAAACCTCCCTACTCTGTAAAGGAAGTCAGCAGATACTACATTTTAATCCAAATTTAACCATAATTCAAACACTTGATGGGTTGGAAAAAGGAATTTGGCAATCACACTCAGTTACCTCTTGAGTGAAGCTATTAAAAGTTATCAAGGTTTCACAACAGTACACATTGGGAAAGGAAGACTTAGTTTCTGTGAAGAAAGCATCTGCTGTGGGAAGCTCTGGTGTGGCAAGACTGGTTTTCAGCCATACCAGAGTGCCTGATGCACAACACAGCAAACCTTGCGAAAATCAGCCAAGGGAGCATTTAGCTGATATAAAATCCATGACAGAACCTGAGTGCCCTCTAATATCACCCCAAGACTCTGGGTCAGTGCAGAAAGGCATGTCTGCTTTTGACTGAATTATCTCTGCCAATCCAAGTGATGCAATGCAAAAACTAATTTGGCCAGACTACCCTAAAAACTGATCCTGATTCATCCTAATTCATACACAAACTCATCTACCACTGTATGCTGTGTAGCTAAGGGTGCTAAATGGTGCTCTGATCCAGCAAAAGAGGTAAAGTTGGTGCCTATAAACCCACTTTCAGTTAGAGGTCACAGACATGAGCAAATCCAAGGCCAGCACCTGGAGCAGATACACATTTGTTAAATGGTTAATCCCCTCTGGCAGTGAAACCACATAGCAGAGGAATCTGGTTTCACACATACCTTCCAATAGTTCTTACATTATCATCAGTTTTGTTGAATTTTCAAGTAGGCCCTCAAAGCCCAAAGACATTAAAAAAATGGATAGGTCCCAGGCAAATTTCATGGGAGACATATCCACGTATCACAAAATTATCACTATTAATACATACCCCTCACTCTGCAGTTTCACTGACCAGTGCCATGCACTGAACTCTCACCTGTGATATTTCTTTGGTGAGGTTGGGTGGAAGAACATAGTCACAAGGACAGAAGAATGGACAGACATAGACACATACCACCCACCCACACACCTTCCTGACTTGTCCTCACCTGCAAGCATTTCTGAAACTTTCCAGGGTATTGAGTAAGAACTGACCGTGTCTCTGAGGAACTCTACCAAGATTTCTGTTTGCCGGGTGACTCTGAGACACTGAGAATAGGAGATCGCCCTGTTAAAGGAGAGACGTCTCTAAAATCTTATGTCCACTTTCAGAAAAAAAAAGCTTTCTCCTCTGACACCAGCAGCAACAGGAGAAATAACAGATTTCACTTCGCTCCTTCACACAACAATTTTTTCACTACTGTGCTTTCCCCAGAGAGGGCAGAGCTAAACAGCTTGTATGCTCTTCCTAGGGAGGACAGAGTTATGGAGCTACTAGCTCTGCACTCCCCTGTCTTTAGAGTCTGTATTTTGACCTAATCTGAGTTTTAAGCATTTCAGCTAATGGAGCTTTAAATCCTTCTGAGAAAACTTATATTTTTTTTATTTTCTTTCTTCCAAATACTCTTGAGACAATGCAGGATAATTCTTCTCCTTGCTTAGCAATGAAATCTTAGAAGCTCTTCTACTTTGGCTCAGAGTTTTAAGCAGCTATCCATATACTAATTCTTGTTCCCACACAGCATCCCACTAACTTAAGCCTGAAGCCAACTGAAGCGTCAGAGTTAATCATTTACCCAAATTGGGAACAACTTGGAACTCAAAATCTGCCTTTAAGCCTTAACCTGTTGTGGTGGTCTTCTCCATAATACCAAAGGAGGACACAGCTAGACACTGGTTCCTGGCAGTTCAGAACTCCATCTCCGTTTCATGCTGAGATACCTTGGCAGAGGTATCATCATTTCCCTTTTTCTCCCTTTAAACATAGCCTGGATATCCTCACTGTTTGTCTAATTTCCTTCCTGTGAAGCTCCTAATTCTGAAAGGGACACCTAGCTCTGTGTGTGTGCAAACTGACTGGCCAACATCTGCCTATGGGACAGAAAGCACTTCTGCCTTCTTCCAGCAGAGAGGGCCAATACCTGGTACCACAGAACTTGGGTCTAAAAATAGTTCATCAAGAATTTGGAGTTCTGCTACTTCTTTGAGCATTGAGGTGTTCTTGTCACTACTGGCATGCAATCTAAACCTACGTGGCTCTAAGCCTACAGCAAGAAGGCTCAGCCCTTGTCTTTTCATTAGCCATCTGCACCTGGGGCTCTTCTCAGAGGTGAAGAGGTCCCAGCAGCACATCACACTAACTGTGGATGCCAGGAATAGGGAGGGATTTATAGTTCAAATAGTGGCTAACAACTCCCTTGCTGAAGGATCACAGTGCATATATGGTGACACTCTTGATTTAAAGGTAGAACAAGAAATGTTCATTGCTGAAAAAACAGATTTGATCACAAGCCTACAAGGTGGGGGCTGGAAGAAAAGGAAGTTCAAATTACATTGGAGTACTGGACACATAAAGAGAATAGCACGCTCAAGTGGTGCCCCACAGAACTTCATTGATTTAGAAAGGTAACATTCACCAGGATCCATCTTCATCTGCTTCAAAGTCTAGAGCCATCTCAAGACAAGAGGATCAAAAGAAATAGCGGAGAACCAAACAGCCATGGGGGACATAAGTAAGGGGGTGGAACATATAAAAAATATCCACACAGTGTCCTAGGAAGATCATCCCTGCCCTGCTCAGTCCTACCAACAAGCAATTTTTGACTTACTGCATGCCTCTTAGTACTCTGTGGTGGGGAAAGGTCAGCACATCGCTTCAGCACTGCTTCTAGAAGCTTCTGCAGCTCTTCATATGGGACTGGAGGGGAGCTCAGATGGTCCTTCCTTAACAGGGTAAGAGAAAGACAAGATGCACAGTTCCTCCTGGGAACATTCCACTAGGAAGGCAACACCATCAGAAATAACTGCTCTTCTGATGGAAATATGCCATTGCCACTTCTTTCCAGCAGAGAATAGTAAGGTCACAATATCGGAACAGCGCTTTCACCCACATGAGCCCAAACACACCCTCAGTACTCTGTCTGCTCCCACCACAGTCAGGAAGCCCATGACAGTCCAGAGTCTTATGTTTATTATTCTTATCAATCTGTCTGGGGTACAGACTGACAAAACCACAGCAGCTGCTCTACAAGCCTGCCTGGAACACTAGGTCCTTGCTGCAATGACTTGCTGCCTGCCACAGCTTCATTGCTCTGGCAGCTTTCCTGAGGTGGGTGGGAAGCTGGCTCTGCTGTACCCACGCCTGCCTCAGCCACAAGTCCCACTGCAGAGCACGTTCACCCACACAGCCACAGGGGAACTGCAAAGCCCAAGATGGTATCAACAGATGTATCTGAAGAAAAGTCTGCAAATACATTCCTGCCTACCTCAGGAAAGCTGCCACAGCTTTCACAGCCTCCACCGCCACCTCCAGCGCTGGGCAGTTCACTGTCTCCATCAGAACATCAATGGCTTCTATACATACACCTCGGTTTGTGAATAATTTGATTTCCACTGGTTGCCTGTGAAGAGGAAACAAAGTAAGCAAGGAGAATGTTGTCAGACTTAGGTAACTGTAGTGCCCTTCCCTAATTTGAGCAAATGGATAGCTCAGCCATGAGATTGCAACCACGTTCTTCAGTGTTGAGAGCCAGTTGCTCTCAAGGAGGTACTCTCAGACTTGAGCAGGTAGAGGCTTTGCTACAAAGAGGAAATTTCAGCCAGGCTGAAGCACTAGCATGCTAAAACACCTACAGCCTGGATAACTGCGTAACTACTCCAGAACACTGACATGAAAAGCACAAGAAAAACAAGCTTTGCAAGATATAGTGATCTCCGTGCCTAGGACTTTATGTTCAGGCCATCTGCTCTGGCATTTGTGAGTTCATCTAGAAACTCATATTTTTAAGCAAACAAGCAAACATCACCATCCTAGAATAGATAATGCCATGAGAATAGCTTCTCTCACCTAATGCCAGATGCTGCCAGGACAGGGACCTTCATAAACTTGAAAAGTAATAAGGAAAATGAACACAATCCAACCGTTTTGACAATCCTTCTCGACAGTGAGAATTTTGGTCATCTGTGGCCCAACACCTTTGAGCATACAAGAGCATGGAGGGACAACAGGCTATTAATCCCATTATTGGACAGAGCTGTGTAAATGGCAGACCATGCTCATTTGGCTCCTGGCAAGTCAGGTACAGTTGGGAGGACAGGGGGAAGATAGGTAGCTACATGCTACCTAGGCACTAACAGCCTGCCAACAGCCAGCCTTCCAAAGTGAAGCAAGAAAAGCAGCACAGCATGACAGGAGCCAGATTTGGGAGCCAAAAGTATTCCCTGTTATTCAATTTTCACAGTCGTGCCTGACTGAAGCAAGCCAGGAGCACATGCTGTCATGCACAAATGGGAAAGCAAAGTGAACTTCAGTAGAAATTACACTAGTAGCCCAGTTACATGGCAAAAAGGGAACAGAGGAAGAACCACTCTTTTTAGTCACTCAGTGGGATGGAACCCAGCTTTGCAGACACCTCACATTCTGCAGTGAGAAAAAGCTGTGAGGTGGGCACGGCAAAGAAAAGGACTTGTGGAACTCAGGCATCAGGAGCCAAGACACAAGTGATGCATTGAACTTCCAAGTTGCTTCTACTTACACTGGGTAATTCTATTAATCCTCTGTATTTCCTTTCTTTAATCAGTACCCTTCTGAAGTAAAACACATCAGGAAGAAAAAAGTCTTCACTGACTCATGCAGGGAGGAAGGGATGGAGGAGTATTGCTGACTCATTCAAGACGCACAAACCCACTTTCAATATGGCGCACTGCAATATCTTTGGGGCCTGGGGGGAAAGTGTGAAGGGCAGCACTCTTGCAGTTTCCTGCAACCTCTCATCTTTGGACCTGCCACTGCACCTGCCACTTTGATTATGCTGGGAGAGACAAGGGTCACTCTAGGGAGAACTACCCAACATTCCTGACATACTGCCAAGGGGAGCAGTACATCCAGTATGGACCTCACCAGAATGTGTGGCTCACTCACACAAGAGAATCCAGCTGCAAACTAAAACCAAGATGAGAGGTTCCAGCACAAGATCCCTTTCCCCACTCTGAGATAATTTTAAATAAAACGTGACTTCTAAGGCAAAGCTCAGAGAAACACAATGGGTGTGCGAGAAAATTAGAGTAACTGCACAGAGTGCTCTCTTTGTTTTACAAGCATAAATGCTGTAATTAGTGTTCCCCACATTCTGGTTTCTCTTTTTGACAGATCCCACACTGGCATCACCACACTGTTCTAGCACTGTTGCTTTTTCTTCTCCTTTTTACCCTGCCACTTGCTACAAAATTGACTATGACATTTCCAAAATTCTGCTCAAGGGCTCTCCTGGGGGATCTAAGTGGCAAAAACGAGACTCTCTCACTAGCATGACAGGATAGGAACAAGATCATAGAGGCAAGAACAGGAAGCACAGAAGAAAAACAAGCCAGTGTATATTATTTCTTAGCAGAAAACAAGAGGAAAAAAGTGACAGAAGACATTAATATTTCAGCCTGGAATTTGTTTTTGCAGTTTGAATTTAGCTCAGATGATGATAGAAGACCAGAGGCCATGGAATTTGCATGCTTTGTTTTGTCATAGAGGCACACTTAGCAGAAGTTGGCCTGCTCACATATGCCTGGACCTTCCTGGCCTTCTCTCCTGCTCTGTCTACAGCTGAAAAGAGATTTCACCTCCTCGACCGGCAAGGAACCAAGAAGAGGAAGATATAGTGGTGGATGCAGGCACAGCCAGGACAAGCTGTGAGGTTCAGAAACAACCATCAGGCCATTCTTTGCAAGAACAAAGGACATGAGATTGTTCAGCACCATCTTTTAAACACAAAAACTCTTGTATGTAGATATCCAGTCTTGGAAAAAAATTTAATAAGCAAAACCCACACAGTCTCCATTTTGGGGTACCAAACTCTGCCTGTGCAAGCCTGACAGGGTACTCCCTTACCGTTTCAGTATTTCAGTGAAGAGCAGGAGCCCTTGCTTGTGCAACTCCACATTGTTCAGCAGCAGGACACCCTGGAGACTCCTCACCAGAGATTCAATGCCTGTACATGTTCAAGAGAAGCCACAGAGAGGCTTTTAATATTCCAGATTCCAGAATGGAAGCAAAATTAATTTTTAAAAGGAAGAAAGATTTTAACAATTATTCTTCTGAGCTACTGACAGAAACAATTGTCCAAAACTGTTGAGTGTTCACTCAGCTCCCTCATAACATGCCTCAACCTTCACCGCTGCAGATAAGTCCCAAAGAACAGAAGGAATTTAACCATTCTTCCCAAATCTACTCTTGGCATATCCACAGAAAAAAATTAACAGTAATTCAGAGAGTGTCAGTCACGGTAACTGGTTATTATAATGAATTAATGCTCATCAGAAACTCATTAGGACAATGACACTATAAATTCAAGCTACATTGGACATCACAAACATGTCTGATAGGTACTTATTTTCGGTCCTTTATCCATCCTGACTGGAAATTGTGACTGTGTGTAAAGCACTGGAATTCAGCTAGAGGCACAAGAATTACTGCAGTCACTCTGTCAGAAAGGTTGATGACTCACCATAGACGGTGTGACACTTGGAGAAGAAAAGGCGCTCTTCAGTCAGGAGGAGCAGGCAGCAGTACACTGACCAGATTAGGAATTCACTTTTGCACAAGAGACACTCAAAGAGAAACTCTGCAAACACACACACAAATAAGGTCACTCTGATAAGAGGTAGGCTGCTCACAGCATGGCACAGCTGCTCCTAGAACAGAACAGAGGAAGGAGGAGGAAACAAGGAAAAACAGCAACAGCCGCAGGGAGAACGGCTGTACTATGAAATGACAGGAATGGAGAATAAAGTAGATGCTCGGGGTATGCTAGTCTTCAAACAGAGGTGACTGGAGAGCAGAGACCCATGGGCAGGCATCTTCCCAGCACAAACTCACTAGGAGAAGCTGAATTGTGGATCTAGCCCTTGGCACAAATGAAAAGCCACAAAGCAAGCTTTACCACAGATGCAGTGACCTTTTTTTGTCATGACTTTTACATCTCCCAAAGAATTTGTATCATGAAAGTATTTCTGTCTTTTGGGATTACAGAGAAATAATAAACCATCTCACATAGCCAAATTCTAAAGCTAAATCCTAGACCAAAATCTGAGCAAACTTACAATATTTAGTGGAATGAGACAGAACCCCAGTTTGCTTAGGCTTGTATCTAAGTTCCTGCAAGAAGGACCTTGACCTCAAGGACTTGGCCAAATTCTCTCTGTGGAAACTCCATTCTGCCTGGTGACACCTGCTTCTAAACTTTCAGTTGAAAACATACTCTCCCCTTCTCCTAAAATCACCTGGTATAAAATGACCACCACATTATGCCATCAGTGGATTTCATGGAGCCAGCCTTATTCCTAAGCCAAACAGCCAGGAGCAGCTTTGATACTGGGGAATGAACAATGAGATGCTACTGCATTTGTTCACCTGGGACATCTGCATGGATAAAAGCAGAAGCATATCTGCTAGGAGAGTGAACCAGCACTGAAGCCATACAGTGAGAACTTGCTGCCTGTAACATCTCATCTCTGGTCAACAAGAGCTGTTGGGAAGCAAAAGTCAAAAGGAGAAAGGAAGTCAGCTATGCAGCTATGAGTAGCAAACAGTTTGTTCTACTTTTTAAAACTTAAAACATAAGATCTTTCTTTTGGCATTTATTTCACAGATTAAACTTGCTAAGGCAAGATAAAACACCGAACCAAAGAGACTCGAAAAAGCACATGAGAACCACAACAGAATAGATCATGAGTAAGAATAGTTCTGCCCCCAGGCTTAGTCATGCTGGTGCTGCATGTGCTGTATTAGACCTGAAGCGTGAGTAAAATCAGCTAAGGCCAGGAGTAAAATTTTCCCCATTCCAGGATGCAGGAATGAACAACAGGAGGTGATCAACAGAGGTATCCCCATTTCTCAGTGCAGCCTCTATTGCTGGTGTTGGTAACATAACACTCTGCTTTTTTATATATACAGTGCCTTAGATAAAGGTACATTACAGGCCAGCAAATTTTTTACATGTACCAACAATTCACTTCAGCAATCACCTTTTTGAGAACAAGTGGCAGTGGATTTTCCCCTTCTAAAAAGTCAGGGTTCTCAGTCTCCTCCTCTGTCTTTGAATTATTCATAAGAATAGATACAAAATGATCAGATTTCAGCAGCTCCTTTAGCAAACCTGTAAAAGGAGGAGCAAGAATGAGCACCATACTAAGCAGCACAGTGAAGATTATATTAACACATGAGTATTTACAGACTAAGACTTGTTGACAACTTCCTTCCCTGTCCTGGAGGGCCTCACCTCCAGTTTAGGGAGCTTCTTCTCATTTCTCACTTTGTTCCCAGATACTGCCATGACCCCCATGTCTTGCAACCCCTTGTTGCTGATACTTTTTGCTGCTCTGACCTGCTCTCTGTTCCTTCTCAGAGTCATGTATGTACACAGGTGCATCTCAGGAGCCCTCTACTTGTGTTATCTTCTATTAGTAACCACACCTTGAACTGTTTCTTGGGAGAGCTCTTGACCTGTATTCTTCTCCAAGCAGCCAGTGACCCCAACAATAAGACATTTTCCCTAGAACACTTCCTAGAGAACAGGCCTTTATTTTCTCCTTCTGTTTTCACAGGCTCTTACAGAAACAGCTGTGCTCACCTAAAGGATACCCACACTCCAAAAAACTCCCAGTATAGATCACTGCTACAGGTATTGATGAAAATCATCAGTACACATCAGTAAAATTCACAGGGGTATCATCTGAGCTACAGAATTCTACTTTCAAAGGAATCATAATCTATTTCTAGTAGTTGAGTAGATAAGCTGAGGAGCAATCCAGTTCCTGCTTGCCTCCTTCTGGGAAAATTAATTCCCTGGATGGTTTACAAACAAGTGATGTCAGAAAGGCTGAAATTCTGCTCCCCAGCAACAGCTGAAACATGCAGTTGGAAGGATAACTGAAAAAAAAGTTCCACATTAGCTCTATATCTAATTAACATGATGTCACACATCTGAAGACCGTATTTTTTAGACTCCATCCCACTGCTCTACAGAACCCACCAGCCCGTGCACAGTATTTGCATTCAGACACTTTGAGGGATGCTCAAGCCATAGCACAAACTCTGAAGAGACTGAAGATTAGTCAGTGCTGGGCAAATGTGAGGCATCAGGGAACATGGGGACCTGGGGGTGCGCAGCAGCAGGGCTGGGCCACTCCATTGCTATGGAGCAACAGAAAGGATTGACAGCTTTGGACTAACAGCATAAAGATCCTCTACGGAATGATCCACATTAGAGCATCTAAACCAGCCAAGGATTTCTTTCTCATTCTAAGCCTTCCCTTGCACCTTGCAGTTTCTCTCAGCAATGCCTTACCCAAACAATTAACCTGCAGCTCCTTTGTCTGTGCACACCCCAGTGTATTCAAGAAGACACCACACAGCCTTTCTTCAAAGTGTCCTGAGAGCCGTTCTGTGCCAACAGGAGAGGAGTACAGCTTGCCATACAAGTAGCAGACAGCAGCCTTTATACCTTCATTTGGGTACATCAAGCCCATCAGCAGATGATCCACTAAATTATCTAGTATGAGGAACAGGAACAGCAAACATTCACTGACATTTTAAAGTCACTAACCTATTTCCCTTGAAAACTTGCAAAAGCCTACTGGACAGACTGGTGTATGCAGGTTAATGAATGCCACAATTAGGTGATGTGCTCATCACCATCTGTCCCCCTGAACAGAGGTAAGGTAATAAACAGCTAGCAGAGCTCACTGCTCACTATGTGAAGATCCATCACCCCAGCTCCCTCCACAAACAGTTCAGCTTGTTCACCAGACCCCTCAAGCACTGGATCAAGGAAAAAAAATCTAAATGTATGTTGCCTGTGAGGCAGACCCACAACCTCAGTTCACAGAGGCTGCTTTTGCCTGTCAAAAAGCACAATAACAAGCCTGCTATGAAGGTTCTGACCTGTATCCCAGGATGCCTGAATGCCACTCTGACTTCTGGACAGGCTTCTTGTGTGACCTTCATGAACTCGTCTGGGGGACAGGGGAGTGCATGCATGTGTGTGTACTGGGGCTGTGAATACCAGCCTTCAGTGGGACATGACATACTACTCACTGTGCTTTCCCACCAGTATATCAGCAAAGCCTGGGATGGCATCTGCCAGCTTGCCCAAGAGAGAAAATGTGGGCAGGCTGCTTCTCATGGTAGTTGCTTTGCACAGCTGTAGAGGAGACAGAAAAGGAAAATGTTTCACTGATGAGGACACAGTCCAAAGGCAGAAGTGCACCCAAACCAGCAAGTTCCCAGTGATGCATAATTTTCCAGAATAGGATCTTTACCAAAGATGGGTCCTCTTCACCACTTAGGATAAACCACAGGAAAACCCTGAATACCACACTAAGCCTCCAAAATGTCTTTAAATGAATTCAAGGAATTGCTTGTGTGTTGCTCTTTTTCCTCTTTCTCCCCTACACCTCTTACATGGGCAGATGAACCAGATTAATTTCTCACCACTTTTGCTACTTCCCTTTTTTTGTACCCTGTGGGACCATCATAAACTTAGGAATGAAGTAAGAGCACAGGCTGGGAAAGCTCCTCACATAACTGAAACAGTAAAGTAGGAAAAGAAGTATCTGAGGAAACCACACAGCTTCATAAGAGTATCATGAAGCCCTATGGCTGAAAGGCATCATGAGAATATAAAAACTCCACAGTAGATATTAACACTGACAACACCACAGCTGGGAAACTGGCATTAGGACATGCAAGGTCAGGTTGGATAGGGTTTTGAGCACCCTGGTCTACTGGAAGGTGTCCCTGCCCAGGCCAGGAAGGTTGGAACTAGATGATTTTTCCGGTCACTTCCAACCCAAACCATTCCATGATTCTGTGATCCCACTGCTACATCTCAGTCTTGCAGGGCCACTCGTTCCTCAACCTCTGAAAGACTGGAAGGAAGGGGAAAAGAACTCATATTCACTGACCTCCTTCTGACTTTCATCCAAAATGCAGTATAAGTACTGTTCTGACTTCAGCTCCACAAGAAGCCGCACCAGAACTAGGCAGAAAGAACAGGATCAGTAATACACCCACAAGAGCCCTCACAATCCATCTTCTACAGGGCTTTAGCGGACCAGTGAGCAAAGAGCTTAGAAATTAAATGAGCACAGACGTGCTGAGAGAGCAGGGTTACAGCAGCATTCCCAGCACTATTACTTCTGATAGCCCAGCTCAAGCTCTCTGAGGCATCATTCCAGGAGTCCTGCTTGAGCTGCACTACAAACCATGCATGGAAATGAGCTGCAAGCAACAAAATGAGCCTCAGGACAGCAAGTAAACATAAGGAATCAGGAAAGGAAGGGGGAAAAAGCCTAGCTTAAAAGCATAAAGAATTATGGTAATTGAATAGACCAGGCTTCCTACTGTATGAAAGCTGGCCTTTAAAAACGCATGCTTCCAGAGAAAATATCAGAACTGAAACTGAGGATCCTTAGATTCACACTCAGAGCTCCCCCATCCCCTGCTAGTGTCCCTAAAGTAAGTGAAGTCTATCCCCATTGTAGTTATCCCATATACCTTACCAGAAAGCAAGGTGCCAGGCACCAGAGTGGTACTGTTCACCTCCTCAGCCCCAATAAGTGCTGTTATTGTTGGTTCATTGAAACCTTAAGAACTCTGTCAACTCTGTACTAATAAGAGGAATCAGCAAGAAATTATGTTTGCTAGGCAGTGGCAACACATCACCTGGGGTTTCCCAAACAAAATCACAAGGGAGTTGCCTGATGCTGGCAGGCTGCCTGTGCCTCTACACATATACCAGCAAGCCAGCTGCAGGAAGCGAAGTTCCTCTTCCAGTACTTTTAGAACTGGCACCTGAATGTTCAGCAGATAAAATTTTGGCAATAGCCCTTTACTGAGACACTGCACACATTTCTATGCAGGATTTGATAAGGATGTCTTGGATGTAGCTTCCTGTCATGGCATGACTCATTTGGAAAACCTACACTTTTGATTCATATCCCAGGAAAGTATTCTAAAAAGAAATACCAGGGACTTTTGGGTTCACCATTTCTTGGTACATCCAAGGCAATACTAGACCTGCTTAAGCTACAGAGTTATGCATCTCAGCAGAAGCATGTCTGAGACAAGTGATTTATTGATGGTTTAATAGCCCTTTCTTGCCCCAAACTCTCAGAAACTTAAAAAACTTTCAAGACTTAGGCAACACTAATTTAAAATTCCTCTGTTAGAGAGCATCCATCTCTCAACAGACTGGTAACATGATAGAAAGACTTCTCCACTTTTCAACCCCATTTTAAGCAAGTGTCTGAAAACTAAAATCCCTCTGTAAGAAGTTTGTCATAGCTCCTTTTACCCTTCATGGCTGGACATGAAATGCATCATTGCACTGCTGATATCTCTAGACTCAGCAGAGGTGCCCAGGGTTAACTGGACTGCAGAGATTCCTTTGTCAGCCCTGCAGATGTTTCCTTCAGTTTTCAAATGCGGGACTGCTCACAAAGAGGAATCTGCAGCCTGTAGAGCTAAATCACAAATACCCTCTACTCCTGAGGAAAAAGCAGTAGATCCCATTGATTTCCATTTGCTTTGACAATTTGGTCAGGTCCAAAGATGCCACAGTTGAGGCAGTGTTACCCATCTGATATTAAATTCATGACACACACAGAACCTGTGAGAGAAATGTTAAATATTTAAATATGCACACACTCCCCTGGCCCCCAATATTGGAGCAGACCACTCATTTTTGTTGCATGGATATAGATGAAACTGAAACTATGTTGAAGCTGAGCATCTCACTATAGGTATCAGACAAGGCAGATTCTCCCCTTCACAAACTGCCAGTAATTGAGATGTGGCACTTGTCTCTCACCTTCAACTAATAGGTTCAGGGCACTGCTGTCTTCCACAGAATGCAACATCCCTACAAGATAAACCACAATAGGTCACGGAACTCATTCGTGCTTCTGATCACCAGTGCTGTAATTCCTTCTTGTTAAAAAGAGCTGAATGTTTTTTCAGAACTGTTTTGTTTTCCATGCTTCAAATGACACTAGCCTGATTTTCTCAGATGAGGGTGGATACTCTCCAGGAGTATCACAAAAGGTGCCTCCATAAGCAGGACACAGGAGCATCAGACGCTCGGTTCTCTTGCAAATTTATGTGCTTTATAGTTGAAGTCAATGGCTCCACCTATGTCAGGGAGTATGTAACTGCTGCCACCACCACATCTCACTGTGTGTATCCAGTACTATACATCTGAAACAACCCCAAAACGACAGAAGTCAAAGCCCAGCTGTGAGTTTTGTCCTTTGTGTCCTCCATTCTTACCAGTTACTATGAACAGTCTTCTCCTTCCACAGTACTGAAAATCCTGAAACCAAATCTGAACACCAGGTTTAAATCATCCAGAAACTATTCCAACATTAAACTGAACCTGAAGGCATCACTTCACAAGTTCATTTTACAATAAAATTGGATATATTAAAATAAACCACTGTCTGACTCTACTACACCCCAGCAGACAAAAAACTCTACCTCCCAGCCCCTTCCAACCTATAGCATCAGGCATACGGTTCAGATCCCCACTTCTGCCACACTGAATCACTTGCTTCAATACATCCTATCAAGCTACCTCCCCCCTGAAGGCTCCATGATGTCTCAGAATTTTGATCAACTAAAGCAATGGTATGACAGGTGAAGAAATTACTTATTTCCTGCCTCATTTGCCCAATCCTTAGTAACTCTAGAAAAGATTTGTATACAGCATTATTGAACATTACAGTATTAGCTGCATGAAATTCAGACATCTGAAATATACCACCTCATACATAACACTCCACACTATGTCTCTCTTCCGCCTGTGCTTATTCCAATAGTCTCTCTCCAAATGTATTTTCCTGAATTCACTATTAATACTTCCTCTACAGCACTGCTCAGACTTTTGGGGGGTTCCTCTTACACTCTTGCAGCAAGTGATCCTCGGTTCATCCAAGATCTATTGAAAACGAACATGCCATTGTTTGTAGCCCCAAGCTTAGACTGGGATTCCAACTGCTCTAAAAATTACACCAAGTACAGTAAAACCCAAAGCTGTCCTCAAACCACCCAATCATAAAGAGAACTCTCTTCTCAGAGAATTATTAAAGCAGACAAGAGCGTTGAAATGCATGCACAGCATCCCTGTCTTCTGGAGTATTTTGTGTTAGGGCCATACAGTTTAGGGTTGAATTGCCCACAATCACCACTCTTTCCACTACTCTGAAGGATTATGTGTGCAGAGATTAAAAAAAATTGTGCAATTAAAATAACGAACACTGCATGAAGTTCTGTTTCTAACAAAGCTGCTTCCAAAACATGCACAACGTAATTTATGTGCAATCAACTGTTCGAACGATTCAGTGTTTCAAAGCAGGGATAGAGTCTTGCAGGTTACTTTTCCCCAAAGAACAAGAATTATCCATGATGTGCAAATGAGATGGTGGGACTAAAGGAATCTGGTATATTTGCCCTTTAAAGGGACTCTTATTTCTAACCTCCACCTTTCCCTTCCTGCCTTACTGTTCCCTGATGTAGACCACTATTTCCTCTCCATTAAGATTTTAGACGTTTCAAAGACATCTCCCTGCTATGCAAACAGAAACCAGTAAGAGAAGTTCAAGATCACAGAGACTTACTGGAAAGACACTTTCTGACATCCTGCTGAACACTATTTTGCTGAGGCTGACTCAACAGAAAGCAGTAGGTTTTAGTTATACAGCAACAAATATTTACACAAATGTAAAGTGATGGTGTAAAAAAAAACCCTCTACACAGATTTGTGTTTTGCACATTTGATATTAAATCCTGCAACACCTTTGCAACACAAAGCTCACACTTTGATTTGGCTATGAATCTTCATGTAACTCCAGAGGCATGAGACCAGAATGGAGGGCGCTCAGGGAAGAAAAAAATGTCAGGCACTCCCTATTCTCCAGAAAGACTTTACAGGTAAGTCAAGATACTTTGGAAAATTTCAAGAACTTTATGAACGTACCAATCCTGCACCCTGGGGAATGAGAAAATTAATTAACCTATTCTGAATCAGTGACAAGCAGTTTTCTGCAGGGAATAATTACACACATAACAGAACGGTGGAAGAATGGAGGTAGGCACCTTAATATTCTTTTGCTCTTTTTTTTTGGCTTCAAAAGTGGGGAAGCTTCATACGTATTCAACAAAAGGCACCTGCCTCCTCCCTGCTGCACCAGGCCTCAGCAGAGCTCTTACCAAAGAGAGTTCCTATCAAATGCATGCACACCCTCTCGTCTGGTGCCAGCAGCTGGACGACTGGCAGCGCCTGCCAGGCCAGGGCATCCTGGAGACGGGACAGGACGTGCTTCTTCCGCACCAGCTACGGATCAAACACAGCAGCCCATTAGGCCTTGGGCCCGAGCCCCGCGCCACTCCCACCACCCTGAGGGGAAAAGGGCCACCAGGGCCCGGGTGCCGAGGCGACAAGACCGGCCAAGGGCTACACCTGGCCCCGGCCCCAAACTGAGCGCCGGAGAGAGCGGGCCGGCGGGGCAGGGACCGCTGGGGGGACTCCGCGGCCCAGCCGCACACGGGAAGGGGCGGCAGGGCAGGCGCTGCCCACCGAGGCGCTGCCGTCGCCCAGGGTCTCCACGGCGCAGGCGAGGCAGAGCGGCGGGCGGAGCGGCAGCGCCCAGCGCGGCCCGTGATCGCCGCACGGCTCCGCCATCGGCCGCCGCCGGGGCTGCCGTGCGGCTCCTCCCGGCCGCGGAGAGGGCGGCTCCGCCCCGGGGCCGCCCCCGGCACCGCCTCCCTTCCGGCGGCCGCAGCAGCCCTCCCGCCTCTTCCCTCAGTGCGCGCTCGGGCCCACAGCAGCGACCGCGCCGCGGCCATGGTGAGTGGCGTCGGGCCCTAGTCTCCTCTTCCTTCTCCTCTTCCATCTTCTTCTCCTATTCTTCCTTCTCCTCTTCCTATCCCTCTTCCTCTGGAGGACCTGGGGTAGAGGCAGGCCGCCTGCCGGCTGCGCGGCGGGCAGCACGTGGAGGCCGTGCGGGCGGGGATGCGGCCGGTTGCGGGGGAGGAGGCCCGGGGGTCTGGCGGTCCTGGGGACACCCGGTAACGGGGGACTCGGTGTCTGGGGTTATCGCCGTGCCGGGAGCCGGAGAGACCGCGCTTCTGCCAGCACCGGTCGCTAACGCCGCTTGGGACCTCGCTGCTGTGCCTCCCCGCTGCCCACGTTGGCGTTTAGAAGCTACGCGAGGTTTGCAGAAATAACCCTGATACGTGCTCTGCTGGTGATTTCTTCAAAATTTTTCTTAGTCTGTTAATTTGCTCTGTTAATTTGGACTGAAGTGCTTAATTTTGTGTAGTCTTAGCGGTATAAAACGCCTGAAGACTGCCCCATAAGTGCAGTGCTGCTGGTTTGTAGGGTGTAGATTGTGAGTAGATAGACTCTTTACTTTGATGTAAAGCATATCTTTCTTACTTTTCCCCTTTACTTTGATACAAGAAGAATCCTTACTCTTTTAGGAGTAAAATGCAATGGTATTTCTTCTGTATGGGCAGAGCAGAAGAGACGCGACTCCAGAAATCAATATATGTGGTGGACATGATGCCTGTGCAGTGTTGATCAGACCAAAGCCTCTTTTGCTCCTATTGTAATATTCTTTGCTTTTTCCTTTAGAGTGAGGCAGAAGTGAATCCCAAAGCTTACCCGCTGGCTGATGCACAGCTCACCAAAACACTGCTGGATCTTGTGCAGCAATCCTGCAACTATAAGCAGCTACGCAAGGGAGCCAATGAAGGTGAGACTTGTGTGTTGAACAGTGTGCTTCAGGTCATAACAGGATTTTGTGAGATGCCATGAGTAGAGATTGTCTTCTGTAGCTGTGAATCACTCATTTTATATAGATCTGGCAGTTGCAGGTGTCTCCTTTCTCCTCCTTCAAGCCTGTTTTAACAATATTCAGGGACAAAACTAAGCTGTAATTTTTCCATGTTTATATGCAGTTCAGGTAGATTCCCAAATTGTGTTCCTGGTGCATGGTTTGTAATCATGCATATTTAAGTGGTGTTTTGGTAAGTGGGATTACCAGATGCCTAGCCAGTTCAGAACCATTAAAAGATTTCGGTTTGAAGGTGCCTCTAGTGCAGCCTGCTCACAGAGTGGTTCCCTTCACAGTTGCTTGGGGCTTCACCTAGTCAAACTTGTATAAAACTCACAATTCCTCAGGACAGAAACTCAGTAATCTCTTAGAACCCGTTTCCCATGCACTAGATCTTCTTCCCACTGATGCCTCTTTCAGCATCTCCTGAAGTTGTTTTACATTAGATGTGCTTTCCAGAAAGACCTAGACTGACTCTCCAGTTTCTTTTACAGCCACCAAAACACTGAACAGAGGGATAGCAGAGTTCATTGTGATGGCAGCAGATGCAGAGCCCTTGGAGATCATCCTGCACCTCCCTCTTCTCTGTGAGGACAAGAACGTACCTTACGTGTTTGTGCGCTCCAAGCAAGCCCTGGGCCGGGCATGCGGTGTTTCCCGGCCTGTCATCGCCTGCTCCATCACCATCAAGGAGGGATCACAGCTAAAGCCTCAGATCCAGTCTGTACAGCAAGCTATAGAAAGACTTTTGGTCTAAGTGCCCATGGGTGTGTGTGTGTGTGTGAAATAGGAAAGTGCAAATTAGGGGAAATTAATGTTTAGCTTCAGTTGAGATGATAGTTTTGATATCAGTGTTTCATTTCAAAATGCCACATTTTTGTTTAATAATGGCTTAATTCTTAGTGTTTCTGCCTCCTATTCCCCCACTTTTCTATTATTCCACTCCAACATATTCATTCTCATTGTATTACTTCTTGAAAAATGACTGTGCAACTGTGTTTCCTGTTTTATGTTTAAAAGAAAAAAAAGTTCCCCCTTTGTCTTCCTGTCTGCCTGCTCAGGGTTTTCTTAACCCACCTGTCAGCTTTCTCTGTGCTGCAGCATTCCTGCTACGTTTCAGCAGGTGTGAGTAACTGAGTTTCTGAACGGTTTAGGCTTTTGAGGAAAAGGTTCCCTGTGTTCAGGCTGCTGGAGTCACTAAGTGATGGAGCAGCACAGGCAGGTATAAGGCAGGCAGCAGCCATCATGTAGCAGCAGATGGAGCCAAAATCAGCGCACACAGCACAGCCGTTCTTGAAACAAGACAAGAGACTTCTGTAAGAGATGCACGGGGAGCAGAAATTTTATGGCAGTACATAAGGGGAACTCTCTTAACTTGATTATTTTTAAATACTGACTTTTTAAGAAAAAATAAAAACGCTGCAAAGCCAAATAGAATTGTCATTCCCTTGGTGAAGTATTTGCAACTAACTGGAGTGTTTCTGCTTGTAAAGCTAAACTGCTCACAGGTTGCCTAAAGGGTATTGCAGTGCAGTAATTTGTACTCCTTCAGTTTTCTTTGCATGGACTGTTACCACAGAGGTTGGGCTTCCTAGGAAGTACAAAAGAGATGGCAGAGAGCAGCCTGTTGTAGCTGATGACTACCATACTCTGGCTGTTAATATAAAAAGTGCCATGCTTTTTAGCTGCTGTGCTCTAGTCACCTGACTGAAGATGAACCTTTTTAAGTCATGGCCAAGGAAACAGAGTACAAGTCATTTTTCAGATAAATTAATATGTGTCTCAAGAAAAGAATGCTGTTATCATCTCATGTCCTGGAAAAGCAGCATGGAGCACCAACAGCAGTCTGGATTAGTGGTGGTTTTATGGACCTAGTTTTAGTTAAATGCATATTGTATAAAAAAATCCACTTCTGCTCTGATCAGAAAAGTTTAAACCCCTGTGTTGGAATATCAAACCTGTTTCCTATTGCAGGATGCCAAAGCCAAATAGTGTGGAAACTCCGTTAGATGCAATAGCAGAAGGGAAAATAAATTTTCCTGTAATGTTTCCACAGAGGCACTAACTTCATACCTTTACTAAGTACATCCCAAGCAGAGGAAGTCAGCTCATGAAAGACTGATATCATGTTTGTATATTTTTGTAAATGGCTGATACCAGTAATCCTTGCTGAGGTGAACTTGATACAAATACTTCAGAATCCTTTTATTTGTATGAGGTTTAGAAGGGCTCAGGAACCCTTCTACTGATGCTGACTGTTGAGCTAGTTGTGCTTAGAACTACAGCTTTGCCAAGGATTTTCCCTGTTTTACCAAGACAGTTGATGTAAGAAAAAGCACACAAGGAGCAGAAATAAAGGATACTTGAGCAAGCAAAACTGTCTTTTTCTGCTCTGAAGCATTCCATTGCCATCTCTTTTAAACTTCTGCTTAGTGTGATAGCCTGCTATTAAAAAGAACAAAAAAAAAAAAAAGCCAGGAGGCAGATCTAACAACCTACAACAAACATGCCACAATCATACAAAGCTTGGAACTGTGTGCCTGAGGGTTAGCAAGCCAAGAGAAATGTTAACAAGGGTCTTAGCAGAATTCAATTCATGGAATTACAGACAGAATAATCTCACTATTCCACTCTTCAAGCCTTGCTAAGACAAGCGTTTACAGTAACTTCATTGCCCAAGAGCAAAAAAATCTTAAATTGAGTGCTTGGGCAAATATTTTACAAATAACTAATCCAGGCTGATTAGAAGTGTAACAGGTAATGTAGTTTCAGTACTGCAGAGCTCAATGCAGGCTAGCTGCTCTCTGAAGGACCTGTGGAGGTATAAGTGAGCAGCATGCTGGCACAGCTAGGACAGTCACAGTGCCAGAAGCGTGGTCACAGCTGGCTCCACTACACATGCCACACTACAGACTGGTCACAGGACAGTTTGTGAGGCACACATGGGAATCTCTGGATGCTAAAAACGTCATGCAGTCCAAATGGAACACTTCAGGTCTCCCATGTTTGTGTCCCATAGAAAGTTAGAGTTTCACTAAAAGATTAGTAACTTCTAAAGCAAAAACACCTCTTTATTGATTTTAGTCATCTTGCACTGCAAGACAGGTGGGGGGGGCATGCCAGGGATGGAAGTCTAAAACCCAAAACACCCAGCTGCAGCCTTTAAGACCAAAAAAGTAAAAATACTGTGTGTAACAAGGTCTCGCTCCATAATTTTCTATTCTTCTATTTTTAAAGCACAGATTTGAGTAGGGAAGCCTGCACAATAGTCTGACTCATATTCATGTAGAGAGGTGGTAAAGCTCTATGCCATCTCAGTAATTTAATTGGGATAAATGCTTGCAGCCTTTCGGGAAACACAATTTGTTTTCCATTTTTAAACCAGCTTTTGCTATTACCATTTAAAAATTGAAGACCTGTGTGTATAGGTTTGTTAAGTGCCAGCTTTCTGCCCAAGGGATTGGATACTGCTTCCCAGTAATGATTTTCTTCTTTTAAGATCTGCTGGTAATATTTGTAATGGTGATGGTGGAAAAGAACCCAACTTGATTACTAGTACTGATACTGACTGTCTTGGAGAGTAATACATATTTATACCCTTTGTTAGGACACAGACTTAACCTGCTGCTTGATTTCATGTGGTGCCATTAACACAGATCATTGTGTTCTCTAACACTGAAGTGAGTTCTGTCTTTATGATGCACACATGGCATAGTCGGTGTTGCAAAGGAAGAGGTGTAACTTTATTAAGAAACCAGCAAGGCACAACTCTGTCCATGTGCAGTGGGTGACCTGAGTTCAGAAGGAATTCAGTTCTGCCTTTAGCTACTGTCAACAGAATCCAACTTTGCAGATGTCTTAAGCTGCAGTGCAAGATGTAAACAAAAGTATATATTCATTACCATCTGTTAAAACCAGGTGGGGCAGTGTTCTTTATCTCTTCCACGACCCTTCCTCCCTCCAGAGGGATATCTTCTGTTAATGGGCCGTTGAGTCAGTCACTGTATGACTGATAAAATTACATCATCTCATTGTGAGATGCTCCACCCAGGGGAGGAGCCAAGCATTCCTACCTGGATAGAATCTGAGACTTAGAACACTGCAGTCAGCCTTTCTCTTCTGGATTCCCAGAAGACTGGACCCATCTACACCACCACTGGACCTTCAGAGGAAAACTACACCCTTCTGCAGGATCACTGCTTTAACAGATCCACATCTGTCACTCCAGGAGGACTGCAGCCACCATTGAATCAGACTGATACCAACACTCTGACCAACAGGGTGTCAGGTTGTATTCTGACTCTGTCAGAGGATTTTTTTGTACTGCTACATTTTTATTTTGATTTTCCTAGTAAATAATTTTTTTGAATTTATTTATCTATTCCCATATCTTTCCCTGAGAGCCCCTTAATTTCAAAACTATAGTAATTCAGAGGGAGGGAGGTTTACATTTTTCCATTTCAAGGAAGGCTCCTGCCTTCCTTAGTAGACACCTATCTTTTCAAACCAAGATAGCAGAGATGTTTCACAACTCAGTAGAAAGTTTCTCCACTGCTAGAAAGAGCAATATTTAGTTGCTTTCATTGCAAAATTAAACAGATACAGCACCCACACAAGACAATCAAAATTCTAAGCAGACTGAAGTAAACCAGGGCCTTCCTCTCCAGTTTAGCGCCCATTAAAGTATTCAGTTAAAGCATCCACAAGCTCCTGCTTCTTGCTTCCACACCTCAACCTCAAAAACCTACATGCATCCTTCAGGACAGTTACGGTGAGCTTGCCTAGAGTACCCTTTTGCACATGACTCCGCAGCTCATCTTCTGAGACTTCTGCCTTGGGCCTCTTCTCAGTTTGACTGTCAGAAGCTAGAAAGATACATTTTAGACCAAATGACTTAAGACTTTAAAAATTAGAAAGACATCAATGTTTCTTATACATACCATAGTTAATGGTTATTAGCATTAAAACACCATGCTCTAACAGCCATACACTCACAGACCTAGTTTCCATGTTTTCTTTTAAGAAACAGATGTCAATATGTAAGTCAAGCAGTATTTCATTGATAGGAATGATCTTAACTGATTCACGAAGTATGAAACTTTGTGTTCTGATAAAAACATCACCCTCCAAATGAAACTTTTAAGGGATTCTCATTGAGACAGCAGAATGCAATGATTCCACACGGAGCTCAGCTGACACTCACTTTATGCAGTTTTTCATAGACTCCCAAATTACACATGGACTTCAGCATTACTTGCATATTTAGCCCTTAAGATGCCCATCTTGGACTTGCTAAACAGCCCATGCATAAGTTTGCTCCCTCACCAAGACAAACTGAAAGCATGAGTGCTTTTATTATTCTGTCATAAAACAGAAAGTTGCTGAAATTATATATACATCTTCTGCAGTCATTTACCCATGTTACTTCCTATACTTCACTCTGCAGTTTGTCGCTCCAGCAAGTCCCCAACTGGATACCACAATATTCTCTACTCTCTAAGAATCAATACTGGATATAATACTTCATTGTGGAGATGGGGCAGAGTTATTGCACAAGCAGCTTCTTTAAACTATGAGACAAACTGAAAACACAGAACCTTCTGAACAGAATACAGACATTATGTTTTGTGTCTGCACCACTGTTATTTACCTTGTTTTCGCTTTACACCCTTCTCATCAGGATTGTAGTCAGGGGGATAAACCAGCTGCTTAAACTCGTCCACCAGGTTGCCCAGTCTGTGGCTCATCTGTTCAGACTTTGGCACTGGCAAAAGATAAAGATTTGCCCTCTCAGGAACAGTGTGATCACAAGAAAGTTCATCTGACAACAGGGATGGCCTTGTGTAGACTATCAGTTCACCCAGTGGGAAATATACAATGCTCATTCTATAAAACCATTAGGGTATGGAACCACACAATACTTTATTTTGTACTATCATGTTAAACATTCCCCAAGAAGGGACTCAAAAAATATGAACCATTCTAGGTATGCCGACTCCACTCTATGTTGGGAAGTAGCACCAGTTCATCAAGCACTCAGCTGTAACTTGAGGGTCTACAACCACCAGAGAGACCCCTGGGACAGAAAAACATGTGCACAAAGGAGAACTAACACATGTTAATGATTGTTGGGGAAATGATTGCCACATATATGTTTCTTCTGGGAAAACCTACAAAAACAGTTTTTTCTGTACTAGAGATGCACAATTTTGGTGGAGATATCCCTCATGCATTCAGCACTGTAATAAAGAACACCTGCTTCTTAAAGCTGCATTGGTGCTAACAAGCCTGACTGTTTTTCAGTACCACCACCAGACACAACTGTGCTTTTGTAATAACTAGTCTGCAAGTGTCCTGCAAGCATGCAAAAATGCAAACACTTGTGTTACAATACTCCCAAATGAGAAATTTACAGCTCTTGGTAATATCAAGAGTTTGGACATCTGGAATTCTGTGTCCAGTTCTGGGCTCCCCAGTACAAGAGAAACATGGAGCTCCTGAAATGTGTCCAGCAGAGGATAACAAAGATGATTACAGGACTGGAACATCTTCCTTATGAGGGAAGTCTGAAGGAACTGGGCCTGTTCAGCCTCCAGAAGAGATGACTGAGAGGGGAACCTCATCAATGCACCTAAGTATCTGAAGGGAGGGTGCCAAGAGCATAGTGCCAGGCTCCTGGTGGTGCCAAGCTACAGGACGAAAGTCAATACGTAGAAACTGAAGCACAGGAAGAGCCATCTGAACATGAGACAGAACTTTACTGGGAAGGTGACTGAGCACTGAAACAGGTCACCCATAGAGGTTGTAAAGTATCCCTCACTGGAGAAATAATTGAAGAACTACCTGTGCAATGTGCTGTAGGATAACCCTGCTTGAGCAGGGAGGTTGGACCAGATGACCTGCTGTGATCCCTTCCCTCCCTGATTATACAGGACA